AATAAGACAGCCCAATATTTAAAAAAACATGTATTCTTTTTTCCCCGCATATTTCCGCATATTTCGCAACTTCCCGCAATTTCACCGCATAAAATCACATAAAAACCCCGCATGTGTAATCGCATAATCAAGGAATTTAGCCCGCATAATCAAGGATTTTTTCCCGTGTTTTTCTGGAGGGTCTAATTAATAGTGTTATCAAATTATATGCTGTAAATTTGAATAAACTGTTCCTTTTTATTGCATTCCTTTCAATTTGGGAAGGCTCTGTAATTATATTATATTACCGTGTGTGAATAATGTAGAAGATTATGTTGCAGATTACAGTTTAATCAGGTAATCAGTGATCTGTAACATATTACATCCTAAAAAGTAACATCCCCAGCCCTGGTTATAGCTACCCTCCTCTCCTTTATTATGTCAGGAAATATGCAAATTTCAGGCAATTAAGTCCCTCTGTGTCATTCTGTCTCTTCTCTTCAGCATTCAGTGTTGTTTTTCAAGAGCGGCCGTGACTTTTGTCAAGCATCCGTCTGAAAATGTCAAGAGCAAAGATGCTTAAGATGGGGAAATTATTCATAACCATTTGCATGCACAGGCACTTAAACCCATTTTGTCTATACAAACACACATTTTGTCACCGTGCACATAATGTATTGCACATTTAAGATAAGCTAAAATATGGAAACGGAAATATAAACTTGAATCCAGGTCATATTCAGCCCATTCTTCCACTCTCAGACGCCTGGCTAAATAATTCAGCACCTGGTTGTCTGTGTGGTGGAAGAGGTGAAGCCTGTCAGATACTCAAATAAGTTATTAATTTTCAATTTTCTAACGCTTTAGGTGCACTTCATCATCCTGTTAACAATTTTCCCGTGAAGCGTGACTGATTTCCTTCCAAGCAATGTTTTTTCCGAAGAATTCAATTTCCTGCACCCATTGCTGCTCTCCCTACAATAGTTTTGACTCGTCTTTATTTGTTGCTGAGGAGTATTAAATTTGCGGTGCCTATTGTTTAAAGTTTACTTCAATCTCACCTTTTCCTCCCCAAACTCACCACTTTAATTCATACAACTATATTAGACTGACCTTGTAAATACTTCTCTTTCTTTCTGTGTGTGTGTGCAATTTTTAATTATCTGTTGGTCAATACAAAAACCATGTATTTTATTTACAGTTATATTCACCTTACGCCTTTCCCATTTGTGAACACACTTTTTAAAGCATTATCTTGTTTTTTTATCATCATTCCTAACTATCATGTCTTTTCTGTCTTTCAGGTATTTGTCGCTCTAAACATTTCTCTGGAGGTTCGAGACAACCTTGTATGGCCGTCTCGATCACTCTCCTTTTTTTCTTTAACAAAAGCCTTTTCTCCTCTATTTCCACTGGAACATCCTTGAAGAACTTTGTCTCTATACAATGTCAGCTGAACTCATATGACCCCTCATGTCTCCCATGCAGACCCTCCCACGGTGGAGCCAGTTTACATGGAGATGCGTCAGGGCCTGGGCCGGCCCGTGGTGATGACCTGCAGGGTGCTGCGAGCCCACCCCTCCCGCGTGCTGCGATTCGAGTGGCTCCTGTCGAACCGGCTGCTCCACGCTGGAGCCTTCGATGCCCAGAGAGACGAAACGGAGTACACCATCCGCAGCCTGAATCGAGACGGGTGGGGGGAGTACACGTGTAACGTCATAAACGAGGCGGGAGCAGGAAAATGCACCTTCCAGGTTACAGGTAAATAGACGTTTTTTACTGATAAGCAATTGACCAGTTGCTAAGCACCTATAAATTGATACTAAACCTGTTAACCTTTATTTATAATAAATAATATAAGTGGAAGATTTTCTTACTTGAACAATTAGTCCTTAAGCTGCTTCTCAATTGTAGTCGGTTATTGAAGACTTTTCCGCCTGAATATAGCAGATTTCATCAGCTGCAGCTAGCTAGCTAATTGAGCTAACATTAGCTCTATGAGTTGAAAACACTGTTTGTGGTTGACTATTCAATTTTTCTACTACTTTTTAAATAAGAACCTTGTAAAAAGGCTATCATTCTCACATACTGAAATTAGAGGTGCATGTCCGCATGAGTTGATGATCTACATAGACATTTTATTAAATATAGAACAGATCTGCTGTGGTCTACAATTTCATACTGACATAACCCGCTTGGCTTCTTACCTTTCCTACTTTGAAAAGCCAGACATAGCTTGATTGTTCATATTTAATGGTACAGAGAAAAAGCTTTTAGAATGAGGACTAACAGACTAACCAATGTTTTTGGTGAAAGTAACGCTGTCTCCGATAATTAGTTTGGAAGGGGATGCTGCAGAAAAGAAGTAAAGACACACTATTGTTAGCTTAAACTCTGATAGTAGCATCCAGTAGGCTTTTGTACAGCAGATGTGCTATTGCGAATTCTCAGTTTCAAGTAACTTTTAACCCTACAACAAGTATTATGTAATATTTCCTCGCCTTGAATGTAACACTGAGTTATTTTTGTGGGAAGTTAGCTTAGCTAGCCCGTATGCTAATATGCGCACCTCATATTAGAGCCCACAAGTGTTAAATCATTTCCTTGCACTTTTGTTTTGTCCATTTTTTAACACACCACACTCAAAACTCCTTAAATGTCTCCTAAAAGCCTAGCTCTGCGTACAGCCCCATGCACAAGTTTCACACCTGCTGTGCTTCGTTACAGATAAGAGGCCATGATTGCAAAGTTGCCGTCAAAAATCGTTCAAAGTTTCATATCATACAATTAACATAATTCAAAAACTCCTTCAGTATGCACTCCAGCTGGTAATTTGAATGTTCACCGTGAACTTTTTGGACAGCTGAAATTGCTTCCTCAAATATATAACGGTTCTTGTCAGGCTCAGGTGTGATAGACAATTAATTTTAAAAGAAGAGTGAAAGAAAGGAAACAAAGATAGTCAATCTGAATGGGATACGTCAATCACGTCTGCTCTTTTCTCTGTCTCTTACCTGTTCTTTCAGATAATACACACTTACGCCCTTCATCGCCTTTCATTTTAGATGGTTCTTTTTTTCACCGGGAACAGAATGTGTCCATCTCCTTGTCCTGCTGTTATGACAGGACTGAATTAGTTTGGTCATGTTGAGTTACCGCAGCAGGTCAAGGTTTCGATCTCCCAGACCTCCCATTAGAGACAGGAGCTACAGGGTCACAGGAGGAGTATCTGTCACTCTGATCCGCTTCTTTGATGCTGTCTGTTTCTCTCAATGTGTTGCTGAATCTAAGCGTACCCTCCATTTTTCTATCTCCTCTCTTTCTGTTCTCCTCTCTTTGTCCCGGTTTGCTTTTCCCCTTTTTTCTTATTCCTCATTTCAAACGTCTTTCCCTCCTCCTCCTTTTCCTCAGCTTGCCTAGAGTGTAAGATGGACAACCCCCCCTGTGCGCTTCATAAATCAGTCCGCCATGGTGGAACAGGTAGAGCAGAGAGACAGGAGCAGATAGTCCCCTCCAGTCATTTGTTTTTCACAACAGGCCTGGAGTTTTACGTGCTATTGCTCATGCCCCCTCCCTCCCTCCTCCCACCTTCCCTCCCTTTCATCCTCCATCCCTCCTACCTTCTCTCTCCCTTCATCACTCCATTCCTCCCGCCCAATGCTCCAGATTCCCACCATCTGGACTCAGTGGTTGCCAAAGGTATGGAGGCTCTTTTAGTAACCCCCTGAGTGAAGGAGCATGGTGCAGAAAATCCACTTTTGTTCCTCCCATCATCCATGAAATCTGGCCTGCCCTATTCCCTTAACTCCAGTTCCTATTCTTTAAGATGTCTATGTTTTATTTTATTGTGTAACTCACCAGCCTCAGTATGAGATCAACATTACTCTGCAGTTTGACTGAAATAACTACTGGAGAGGATATCAACACCTGACTTGAGAGTCCACTTCAAGATGAAGCTCATTAAATATTTGTTATGGCTCATGCAGTTAGGTGGTGTCTTGGGCTGCTCACTTAACAGAGAGAAGACAGGTAGCCCTCAGTGGATATCCCCTCGCCCCCCCGCCCCCGCCTGACTTCCTATTGTGCTGTGTTGATGTGTAATAAACACATCACTCAGTAGCTCTGGCCTGAGGCTGCAGTTCCTCCATTAAACACACAGGTCCAGTCAACATACTATGCAGAAAAACATACGTGTTACCATGTTGACGGACACATTCAAAATCTCCCAATTCATGCATTAGTCTTTTCTTGTGCTTATATAAAATTGTTGTCGCCTCACAAAGAGTGCTGTGCAAGGGGAGAGTGTGTGCATGTGCATGGATGCCCATGTGCCAGGCCATAAGGACATCTGTGGAAACAGCGAGTCGGCTGTAATTGTTGGACATTAAATTGTGCCAGGGGAGAGACCCCTCAGAGGGATGTAATGTGTACCACTGAGCTTTGGCTCAGCCTCCCTCTCTGGGGAACCCTGACTTTTTAGCAAAAGTTGAAATCATGCTCTTCTAAAGAGTTAGAGTTGGGACGAAAAGAAACTGTATTTGAAACTCTACGCTGCTTTTCTTCTTTGATTCCATTCCAGTCTGCTGCGGTATGATTGATGCACTAGTCTGCATTTACTACACATCCTGTCCTCAGGCTGCAAATGTGTACTGATGAAGCAGTGATGGGATGAATCACAAGTCACAGAATACACAGATATTGGATTTAAAGATGTATTGCCTCAATTTATTATAGCACTTCATAAAGTTTATGGACTCAAATAAGTGAGTTTTAAAAAAAAAAGATGGTTTACATTAAAGCAGCAGAGGCTAAGTTATTCCATCTTTCAGCCCAGAGCCTGAGCTACAGTACACTCTGAACACCCTGGCTCCTACAGATCCCATTATGCAACTCTATAGCATATTTGACCAGACCCCAAACCTTCTATATGCCCACTTCTGCCAAACTTCCAGTATGCATCACAGGCTTTGCATTACAGTTTTCAAATGAAAGTGAAGATAATATTATAGGGGTTATTTTAAACATTAGAAACTCCCTCCAGAGCTAAATTATACAATTTACACATTGTGTACTGGCGAAGTGGGACTAACCTGAATCCCTATAATCGCTATAGAAGTATAAAGAAATTCTGCAGAGCTAGACTCCAGTCTCGTCAACAATGCAAACTGCAGTTTTCCTGGAAATCAGAAATTCACAAAGAAAGAGCAAACAATGCTTTTCATTTCTCCCACGTTTAATTCCTCTTGTTGGCAGCCTGTCATGAATTACAAGAAAAAGAACAAATAAATTCCCAGGGACATTGTTCAGAAAATCAGTGAACGATGCATTTTGTGAGTTTTTTCAGGAAATGAATTCAGAATCTACACAATGATGCGATGGTATGGTCCCCATTTCCCTCTGTATTGTTGCCATTGTTCCTAATGATGCAGAAACACATTGTGGAACGCAGTGCCCAAAGTTACCCAAATAACATATTTGCATATGTCTTCAGAAGGAAATGGATTCATTGTAGTGTGACACCCCCACACTGCATTCAGTCTATTTGGATCTATTATTATTTGGTCCGTCATCTGTTCATAGTAATGTTACTGTCACCTTGATTCATTTGTTGCATGTTTGTTTGGCTCTTTGAGGTGTTTTAAATAGGCATCTTGTATTTCTTTTTTGGTGGATGTGTTATTTGTATCATTTTGATATCTCCAAGCAAGAAAAACGTAACCGATTGTATCTTAAAACCTGCACATTGCTCCGTCACAGGGGTCTATAAAAGTGTTCAAACTCAAATGAACACTTCTCACTTCCAGACATGTTTTCTAGTAACTCAGCAGTTTGCCTCTATAATCTGTATCCTGCTCATCCGAGTTGAACTGTGCACCTAAAGTGAAGGATGTATGATGTTGAACACTTTCCACAGCTCAAAGAGAAACTGACATTGATGGAACCTGTTCGTAGTAATGACTGACATTACACTGTCAGAGTAGAAAAGCAGCATATCAAAAAACGTTATCTGTGATCAGACTGTAAGTCTCTCAGGCTTGAAGGACACACTCAAAATATTCTGTGCTTTTTCCTTCTTTTATTTGCCGACCTACATTTTATCCCTGTACTTCTTTTGTATCATTATTTTAGAACACAATATCACAACATGTGTCAATTTGCAGCATTCAAACTGACCACAGAGGATGGAATACAAATTATAATTCCAGCTAATATAATCAACCGTTAGAAATCTCTCTGGCTTTTCGTCTGTTCGAGTTGATTAGGCGAGGAAGTTGAGGAAGAATGAGCTGAATAGTCGAGGTGGAAGTGACTCATTACAAGTTCAATATCATTTTTTTCCCTTTCAAAGCCACAGAGAGATTTCATTCTCCATCCCAGAAGGGGACTACTAGCCAATTACCATCAAGTCTTTTAATGTCTAATGACTTTTCCCTAAAGTCAGTTAGCTTATCCAGGCGGTGGTGTTGGGTTTATCTCGGCCAGCTGTGCATCCATATGCAAGCGTCACTTCTGCCACAAAAGCCTACATCACACATCAGCCCTGCACCATATAGCACAGCTTAGCATATGGCGCTGTTTTCCTCAAGAAGAAAGCATGTTCATAAACCCCTTAGAAAGAAGAAAAGGAAGTCTGCAAACAAGGTCAACTTCTTGCCGGAAGGGTTTTACTGAGCTGTTATGAATCATTGCATTGGTTCTGCTGTTATAAACAGGATTTAAAAAAAAAAATCAATTAAGCCTTCCATATTTTATGTTTGATGTCTCTCACCGGGTTATCTGTTTCAAGACTAATAAGTGGTTTAGGCAATGTGCTTCATCACACATAACAAATTATTAGCAGTGAGGACCATCATTACATTATATTTGTTATTTGAGGTCATTCACTTTTGCAAAGAACTGTAATCTTATAGATTCAATTACTAGAGAACGCGTTCGCTAAATAATTGTATAAGTGTGTGATCCTTTCAGCAATGTTTACCTAAAGCCGAGGCTGCGTGGGAATCTTTAGAAGTATCATGAAAACATACAATCAGTTTAATTAACCCTTGCTGCCTCTGCTCTGCTGCAAACCATAGCCACTTGTTTTGTCATTGGTCTCGTAATAACAGAATAAACTGCATGCACAAAACTGACAGTATCTGCCTTGCTGGCTTATGTGACGTTCACTGTACAGCGCGTTGTAAACACAGCTGGCTCTATACAGCGAAACACTGCAGAGTGAAGTGCAGACGGTAATTATCCTTGGGTTTGTTGTTAGAAAATATGTTTTTCTTTCTAGTTGCATTTCAGTGAGCAACGGAGGCAGTTTGTTTTATAGCATCTTCAGTTATAAAACCAAAGGGTTCCATTTAACCTTGTGAGATGGATTTCATAACTCAACATAAAAACTTTCATCAGGTTGATAAATGAGTGTTTCTTTCACTCAGATTATAATATTGTATTTTAAATAGCTTTATCCATTTAAAGGCCAATTGATCTGCATCCCGGTCATCATTACCTGATTCATTTGTCTGAAATGCATAACAAAACAAAATGCCCTCAGTGTTTATTTGGACTTATTTTCTCTGAAGAATAGGAGAATTGACCACACCACACTAAGCCTGAAACTGCTAATCTGTTTTTTTCAGTCCAGATCATTCTTAAATAGCTACATACTACATACTGTAGCTATTTAACTCAAACAGAAGTTAATTGTGGATTTGTTAGAACATATATACAGCAGTGGTTCAATCCTCTATGGTTTTGTTTGTGAGTGTTTAGGCAGCAGGTTGGTGAATATGGAATCGACTCGAAACAGACTATGTGCCCATATTCATTGTTATGAAGATGTTTAGGGATAACAATGGAGGTCTATGGCACAGGGGAACAACTGTAAACCTCCCTGTAATGCCTGGAAGTATGGCAAATGATTGTTTGTTTAAGAAAATCATGGGATATAGCCAGGCATCATCATATCACAAAGTGACTTAGTGAGTGGTTGGCTTGGTCCCTACCAGAAAATAGGTTTCGCTGAGTTTATTAAAAGGATACATCTATACCATGGATGTATGTCTCATAACTGCAAACCGTGCCTTCTGGTAGGTCCATTTATACTTCCATTAAGACTATTTCACTTGAGGAGCCTGATTTAACTGCCAATCTCATCGTCAAATTGTCGCACTGGTTAGGAATGATTGATGTAAGAAAAGATAAGAAAGATAAGATGGACCTTTATTTATCCCCGTAGGGAAATAGAGGAGTTAAAGCAGCAACAGAGAGTGAAAAACAGGACAGTAGAGATTCACACAAGGTATATAAAACAAAGCATCAATGCATTTTCATTGATATATCTCCATGTAGCTATGTAGTATGTACACATGACAATAAAAGCCTTCAATTGAATACGGGCATTTAGGGGGTGCTGGATGTCTGATGTTTACATAAGTGTAAAGTACAATAAGTGTAATACACTCATTTGACAAAAACAAAAGAACAAAACAAACAAAAACATAAAGAGAGAAGACAAAAAGGCAGGCAGGGCTCAATAATGAAAAGAAAACCCTTATAGTTCAATGATCTGTACATTCTCGGTCAAGGAAACAGCCTTCTGTGAGCAGGTTACCTAAAAGTGGATGCAACTACACAGCTAGTAAGCACCAATCAGTTTTGCTTCCTGTATTATTTAGCTTTCCGTTTCCTAAAATATCAGCACTGTCAAGACATTTCGTCTTGTTTGTTTGTCATGGCACAAATTATCATGTCAGAACAGCAAAGTTTAGCTCCACAGGAAATTGTCTTTGTCCCTGCAGCGATTCTATTTGAATTGAATTAATTTCACTTCACATTTTCACAGTTTGACAAAATCATTCCTTGTTTTTGTCTTTGCTATATCTCTAAGGTAAAAGCTGCTCCACAATGAAAGACAAAGAGCCACTAGCCTACAGTAATACTGTACTAAGGCTATTGAAACCAGAATGATAACCAATCACCTTGTGACCTACAAACTCCCAAGTCACAATTTATTTACTCCCTCAAGTGTCATTCTTAGGATCAAAATTGAACAAAACGAAATGGTTCAATGAGTTTCTCCGACCAAGGAGCCCCGTGGGGAGAAACCCAAGAGACCACTTATCTGTTTATGGAAATAAAGCCGTTATAATCCATCAATGACATAAACTAGCTTGACAGGTTTAGTCTGACATTCATCAACTACTTGCTGCACAACCACACGGGTACATCAAATCCCAGTCCTGTTTTTGTTTGCGCTAACAATGGCTGCTCCAGCGTCTCCTCTCCATGGCTATTAAAAATCATCTGCCTTGGGTTTTGTCATCCTTCAATAAACAAGCACAAACAGCTGAGGGGCAAACACAACAACGTGTTGTCGAGGTGAATTACTATTCTTTGCCTGGAAGGTCATCCTGTTAGCTTGTTGCTGGATCTTGATTAAAATACAATGTTGTGCCGGCTGTACTTCAGCTGTCAGATATATCGGCTCTCAGGCTGTGACCGGAAAGCACAACATCTTGAAAGATGTGTTCAGTCCATGCAACAATCGCTGTCAAAAAAAACTCACAGATTTCTACAGAGCAAGCTGTGTAATTCAAGCTTTATGACAATCTCTTTGGTAGTCTGGATCTGAATGAAATGTGTTTTACTGAGAAGATAACTTGAGTTCAAAGCATCTTACACTTTAGTCAAATCTGCCATCACATTGGATCGATACATCAGAATCTCGTAGCTATACGTTCATGAAACATACAATCTGTTACACGCTTTGATTCAAAAGTACTGTACGTCACGAAACAGAACATTAATATTTAATGATCCTTCAGGGAAATTTGGGTCACAGCAGCAACAAGGAATATCATACAGATCGGATAGGAATAGAACTAACTGAACATAGTGAAGATAAGAGATACTGTAAGTCTTTGTCATGCTAATTCAGGGTTTCTTTAAAGAAGTAACTCTAAAGAAGCTTTAAAGATGTGTTACTATATGAACAAATGATACAACATGTGCAGTCAAGCAGAATGGCAAGCCTGCACAGTGTTTGTAATGAATACAAATGCAAGCAATGTATTGAGATCTCATATTATAAATAATAACTATTATAACCTAGCAACAAACAAGTACTGTTCAGCTGGGTCATTACAGCTGAGCCAATATATCTGCACTAACCTTTTTATTTTCATCACTGTTTTGAGTCATTCAGTCAGATATAACATTACATCTCTCCATCATGCATTGCTTTATCTGACAGTTTGACCTCAACTGCTTATCTTAATGTTTTGAAGATGATTCATCTCTAAAGAGAAAGTTTTAATGTAGTAAAACATGCACCTGCTGCTGTTTTATGTCTATGATCACTGTACAGTAACAGCACCATTATTGGTGCAATTGCTGTGATTCAAGCACTCCTAAAATGTGTGTCATTCATTCACAATCTATATTAAGAAATGAATAATTATGTCCATAATATGCTTTTTTGTTTGTTTTTCAAGAAATACTTAAATCCCAGCAACTCATACTATCCAGTCTAAATGCTACCCATGGTGACTTTAACACGTTACGTTTTCTGAGACATGTTCATGTCTAGTATTTGATTTCATCCTTTTTTCACTGCTTTTTATAAACAGACTTGTCAGAATCTGTAGACATATATTTTATATTTGGATATTTCTGTCACAAGTATCCCAAACTTTATCAAATACTACTTCTATTGCTTGGATAGCCCTTTAAAACAGTCCTGGCTATATTGGCAGAAGGCATGAGTGCCATTAGATTCCAACACATGGTTTTCAGGTGTGATGTTTTTAATCTTAAATAGGTTTTAATGCAATACTATCAATGTGCTTTCTCTCCAGGCAAAGCCTACCCTCCTGAGTTCTACTACGACACCTACAGCCCGCTGTGGCAGAACCGGCCCAGAGTCTACGGCTTCAAACTGCAGTGGACCCAGATGAACCCCAACGCGGTGGACCGCATCGTGGCCTACAGGCTGGGCATCAGACAGGTAGGATCACTGAAGGTGTTTTTATATCAGGTACGATTGATTTGTACCATGCTGAAGTACACATGAACTGGAGACCCCCTTTTTCAGGTGGACAGGATCGGGGCCCCGAGTACGTAACACAGTGTTCCTACTTATCAACAAAAACTAGACTCTGTGGTCAAGTGTATTCCAATCGGAGCCAGGGTTCCTGATTTGAATTCAACTTGGAGTTGTTTATGTGAGCACCTCACCCTGCTGCCTGCTGATTTGTTTTCTTTTTCTCTGTTCAACCTACGTGCGCATGATTTGAATGCTGTTTGTCGCAGTTCAAAGTGTTTTTCAGTCCTGCAGAAATCTGTTCTCAGGGAGCTTTTGTAACAGCCAGAACATGAGTTTTTAAAAGCAAGAAACATTGGCTCCGTGTAAAATAATCGCTCAGTCATCTGTAGTGGTCAGCCTCTTTCCAACCCTTCTTAGATAAATTAGAGTTTATTTGCGCCACGAGGCAGTAAAAAGCTTTCTTATTGCCAATTTAAGCGTGCGATAGATGTGTTTGCACAGCTTGCTCGTTGTATTCCGTTTGACAGCGCCAAATCGTACGCCTCGATTCATCGACAGTCTTATTCTGCAGTTTTTTAAGAAGTGAATGAGCCACTGTAGACCGCGCTGAGTGACTTAGAACCTGTCAGGGGCGGTCGTTTGTGCCAGTTCTGTGCTTTCCCACCAATTGCTTCGTTTTTTTTACCCTCAGTCAGAGGAGTGGAGGGAAACCCCACAGAGAGAAAAAGCAAGCATCGCTCCTGTTTTGCTTTTCAAGTAAACTCCACAGATGACAGGCCGGTAGCAGCATTGATGGATGGCATGGTTACATTTTCTCTCTTTGGCAATCAATGTGTACCTTCCTCTCCTTCCTCTCCATAGCACATGGCAGGGTGGAGCACATTTTGTCTTTATGGATATCCTATTTACAGCAGCAGTAAACAAAAAGTTTGAGATAGCCAAAAAGCTCCATTAACTCAACTAATTGTAAAGCCCCCGTCACCAGCCTGTATAAAAAAAGAGCATATATCAAAGAAATGTAACCCATCCCGCTACACCAAAATGATATCAGTTCTGCTTTAGAATTAGCAAGAAAACCCTGACAGTTTTTTTTGCAATGAATAATATAATTTCATGTTTGTTTCACACTACACCCTCAGGACTTGAAGCCTGAATACACATTTTAAACCAGTTATGTTTGCGCAGAGCAATGATTTTCCTGTCATCTCTCTCACTTGGTCTGTTTGGTAATAAATGATGCTGTGCATTGCGGTGCCCATGGTTGCGCTTGCCAAAAGTTTGTTTGAGAACTTGCCAGGAATATACATTTGCTTTTTTCTTATTTTCAGCCGGGTTGTGAAATCTCCATCTTTAAATTATTCTTTATCCTTTCATCAAAAAAAGAGAAAATATTACTTCACCAGTCTATGTTTGCAGAAAATCATTGTTTGGGCAAATTAATTTCTCTCCTCCTTCTTGCCTTGATATCTCGAGAGAGATACATTGTGACCATTATTTCCTTCCTCCGAGGCATAGCAACCGATCGTCTTAGATTAAAGAAATTCTCTGCCTTAAGGAAAATGCATTGGTTTGTGGGATTGGCTTTACAGTATACCTCTGTGATGGATTAAGTCTCAGCTTTCACTATTGATTTAGACTGATACTTTTGAATACCTTTTGGTGAGAAAGAGCTGGCGAAAAAAAAAGTGGAAGAGGAAATGAGATAGGAGAAAATGAGTAGGAGTAGAGGCCCTATAAACACAGAGAGATAGTGACTGTGAACGAGTGGTGCAGTAATGAAACCTTCGGCACGTGGACAACACCACTTCGATCTATTTATAGATCCAGCAGCAGCTCCCCTGCCATTCCCGCAGAATTATTATCATTTTCTCTTTTGAATTAATGCACAGAGCCCGCAGACCTTATGCCTCTGTAATGGATTGCTTTGTGTTATCGTCCAGTGCTCTCCTGAGAGACAGACGCTGGAGGGGAAACGGGGATGGAGCTCTAGCTCCACCAAAGCACAAATCACTGCACCCATCAAGGATGCAATGTTAAGGTGTGACATCTGGCCTTGTTCTGATACTACAGCCGGCTTCTTCAAAGCCTTCTTAGCTGTCCAGATGCCTCATTTCCTGTCTCTAACCCCTATAAGGTAACTTTTTCGCAGCTACATATTGCCATCTTGGATCAACTTCCCTTGTCTCTGTCTTCTCTTCCTTCTACTCCTCCTCTTTCGTCTGTTTTCAATTGATCTGTCAAGTCTAGGCAGATCAAAAGGAGTCATATGTTTTACATGCCGGCAATAAAAAGTCACCATAGTCAAAGAGAACAGTCACCTTCTGTGCACCTGATGTCGCTGTGATCAGTCTTGCTCACTTGCTGTTGTCTTAAAAGTTGCTTTAAAAACTCTGTGAAATTAAATCAATTCGGCACTCTGCCTCTGTCGACAACATTTGAAAAATGAAAGGTAATGGGATGTAAACAGAATCCTTAATCGAGCGCAGACGCAGAGACTCAGTGAACATTAATGGGAATCAAAACAAAGGTGCAAAATCCATAAACCAATAAGCATGTGTATGATTCAAAACGTCTCAGAAGTGAAATGTTGTTTCTCAATCAAGGTTTCAAGATTGATTTCATTTGAGCATTTAAATAGATCCGCGTTTTGATACGAATTTTTTTTTGCTTTTTGTTGTTTGCAGTGTTTTCCAATACTAGCATTTAAGGGCCTCCATTTGCCTTGAGCTCCGGCACACACATAGACAGTTTTCCCAATTAAATGTTTTTAAACCTGACACAAGCCTCCAAAACTGTTTTACAGCACATATAATTTCATACTCTTATTTATGCTCGCAGCATTACACCAGCACCTAAACTAAGCTCAAGCAGGCGCTGTGATGGGGGGGATTCGGGAACACTAATGAGCTCAGATACAAACTCCGAGATATTGTTATTCTGCGAGTAAAGTGACAGGGCGCTCCCAATACAACCTGCCATCAAATCCATTTGAAAATAAATATGTATTTTTAATGAGACCCATACAGTTGTTTTCTATTACAACAAAACAAGGCTATTTTATGAATTTGGTAAAGCAACTAAACTTAAACAAAATCAAACTAGTTTCAAGTTTTATCATTGCTTCATTTTTGTATTCATGTTTTAGCTGCAGGCATTAGACATAATGAGCATATAATAAGCATATGAACCATTCAAACATCTTCGGTTTTATATTGCTGTATACTGTGGGAGCTGATCACAAAGGGACAATGGCAGTAATAGACAGAGAGAAAATGGTGAATCGTGCAGCTGAAACCAATCAGCTAATGCATGTGCTGCTCTGCCTGAACTTACGTTATGCTCCATAAGTGGAACTTAACTGGATTTTATTATGTTGAATAGGTTTACATTTGAAAGCATGCGAATTAGGTTATGTGAGATTGAGTTTTGTGGAGCTCTTTGGCTCCAAAAAGTAAAAATAAGAAAATACAGAGGGGATGCCCCCTTTAAAGAGCCTGTGACACGAACCCAACAACTGTTGTGCAATGAAATAGTGGGCTACTAGTAATCTCGAACCGTCAGTTTAAAAAAGAAAAAGCGATACCGTTCCGATAAATATCAATAATTTCGAACATCGCGGGAAAATTCCTTCGACTCATTTTGAGGTTTTGGGGGAAGCCGGAAGTGACGTCAATGCGGGAACGCTTCACTGTGCGGCGAGAGAGCCAAACACGGACAAAGTGTGTTGTCATGCGTAGAAATGGTGAATTACTGAGTTTAGGCACGTTAATAACGTTTTAATGAAGTTGACTACAGTACATTCATATTTGTCAGTGCTTTCATGTCAATTCGGCGAACATAAACATAAATGATCGTGGTGAAGATGATGATTAAATTAGGATTAAAAATCGGTAGTGAGAGCTGCTGAATTTCCTCCCGTCGGATGTGATATAAAAACAAATCGATTATTTTTGTAAAGTCAAGTGGATGAAACTACATTTATTAGTGCTTTCATGTCAATTCGGCGAACATATGATACATTAAATGATCGTGAGGATGATGATTTAAAAATCTTTTGTTTGAGCCGGTCTGCATTTCCTGATGAGAAAACAAACCTTAGCTTTTTGTAGTTGCAGTCAGTGGTGTAGTGGGCGTTGGACGCGGGGGTACGCCGTACCCCCACTTATTTGAAGCATGATTTCTTTTTTTAATAGTCTAATACATCTAAAATCATTGCCAGTGTTATCAGTTGCAAGTGTGTGTTTGTTGTAATAATGACGAAAACATAATAGGCAGATTTCACAGTAATTATAATAAAAACGTAGCTCAAGCATTTATGCAACTTGATTTGAAGCGTGTGTGTGTGAGGGGCAGAACTGTGTGTGTAGGGTGACCAGGTGTCCCGCACTGTGCGGGACTGCACACACAGCATTTTTATTATTTGTCCCGCGTCCCACACATTGAGACTATGTCCCGCATTTTAGTGATAGTCGCGCAGAAAGGCCGGATCGGTTCGCTGACAGCCGGCACCGCCCTTTATTATTATATTGTCTAAACGGCATCATGTAAGTTGCGCTGACAGGCGACACAGAGTCCCAGTCCACCACTGGCTACATGACCGTATGATCGCCCATATTGACGCACCTAATTCCTAAACTTCTAACAGATACAAAATAAACCGATCCTTCAGCCTCATATGAGCTCTCAGACACGTTCAAAATTAAACTGTCATCGCTGTCTGAGCTTGCTGCTGTGTGCGCCATCGTGCGTTTACATGCAGATGCTGGGATCCTGAACGGTGCAGCTGGAGCGCTGTGCCCGCATTGACGTCACCCATAATTTGGCGGGACTTGAAGAATCCCCGAGAAGATCCAGGAAATGGTCAACATTGAAGGGCAGATTAATGGTTATCAAAGTACAAATATCCAAAATCAGTTCAGTAACGGTTTTCAAGGGGACAATATTTACTCAAATTGATGGGTTTGGATGATGGGGGAAAATCGTGTCACAGGCTCTTTAAGTTAACTGATCGGTTAAAATATTGCTTTTGTATTAGTACATGCATGGCGGTGAGATTTAATATATTTATGTCTGATTTTCAGTGGAGATAACCGTAAACTGTTTGTGGGCACAGATTGATGTATCCTAATGTGTTGACTTAAATAAGCATCTAACTTATAATGCATGATGAATTAGTGTTTTGTGTTTTTTATTAGAGATTCAAAGATAAATCTAATTCTCAATGAGTCGATTGACTGAAAAATAATCCATTAATCTTTACAGTAATTTAGTAATATCAAAAATATATATGTCATCCTCCTCAAAACTGAGATTTCCTAGGTTTTTCTGTATCATATTAAGCTCAATATCTTTGTTTTTTTATTTTTAAAGACATCACTTTGGACTTCGATAGTTGTATCATTACTTCGTTGTCTTTCGAATGTGGACAGTGTTAAGTACACCTTCTCTTTTTCCTCTACTCCCCCTCAACACCAATCTATAGAAATGACAGAGACTGCCAAATGTGAAAAAACATGGTGACGTGTGTACTTTTTTTTATTGATTGTTTTCATTTTTATATTCCAATATCAAATGTGCTTGAAATGTCACAGCCTCTTTTTAGAGTGTTCAAACACACACTATCCAACAGTGTGTAATTTGTGGCAATTGGCTGCTGTAATGCCTTATGTGCTCAAATGTTCAAAGGAAAGGTAGAGGTAAACGCTCCATCTGCAATTACTAGTGCCACAAAAAAAACCTGTTTACCTGCAAAGTAATGGTAGTATAAACTTGCACCCCGTAATTTGTGGATCATCCCGGCTCTTAGTAATTACTTAATTGGTATTTTTCTCACACACAAATCTACTGAGTGTGCTATCAGACTTCCATTCTCTCTATCTCTGTCTCTCTCCGCTGGTTACACACTCCGTCTTTTCCTCTGACTGAGAAGGGCATGTAAAGTCACTAATTGTGATGCAGAAGCTGTAACTTGTCTTTGTGCGGCTCTTCCCCTTAAACCGATCTCAAGGATAAAATGTACCCTACTTTTCTTCTCATTGCCCCCCAGCAGCAAACCTCCCTTTTGTTTCCTTGGATTTCCTGAGCAGCTGTCTTGTATCAGAAGCACAAGCTAATCTCTTGTGTGATACCTGAGCTTAGTCACAGACAGACAGTTTGTGTGTGCTACACTGTGCAAAAAGAACGAGATATACAATTCCTGTCAGTTCAAGGTCCTGCTACAAAACATTGTCGAACATGATTAAAGAGCAACTTTAAAAGAATGAGGCGATGGTGTACAGAGCACAAAGGTATTGTCCTTACTGTACTTGCACAGCACCTGTATGATCCACACTGGGATGGGTTTTTTTAATAGGAAAAATGAAACCGGATTTCTCTCTCTTCAAGTATGGGAATGTTCCTTCTGCTTGTTAATAACCGTCTTTGAATTCAGAGGCTAGGAGCTGCTTTGAAAGTAAATATTGCTAACGAGCAGCTAGCTGTCAACAATTTACCGTGAAAAAAGAAGATGTTTTTTGTTGTGTAGCATTTAATGTTGGCGGCGTATCATACAAATGCCTATAGATAGGGTTAATTGGCAGATGAGAGGGTGCATCCAACACTGATGGTGAGGGGAATGTATATTTGCTATGGTCATGTATGCAAAACGCTCCCAGGAGCAAACGCTTCAGAAGAATACGCTTTGAATTGACATGCTCTACTTTTGTGGTGATACTACATAAAAGCCTTGACTGTATGCCTTCCAAGTTCTTTAGATATGAAAATGTCTGATGAATAATGATTATAGCTGCTTTTCATTTGCTGTGGTTTCATATATTTCGAATATCAAAGGTAATTTATTCCTAATCCTACATACTATACCTCTGCAAACTCTAATCTGGTTGGTATGAGATCCTCTAACTCTACAAAGGTGATCTTTGTAGTACAACTTCACCATTCAAGGGTGACCAACTACACTGACTGTGGAAGTGCTGTTTGCCATGCGCTCTGGGGTCCAAACTCAACACTGACTAACTTTTGCTGAGAGGTCTGCAATTAACTTGAGGCCACTCCCGGACCTTCGAACCATGAAAAGAGGGACTAATCTAAGCAACTCAAATCAAGGGAATTAGCCAAGAGCCTTAGGCTCGCTTAATCAATGAAATTAGCTTTTCTAGTCTAAAACCTAATGTCTCTAAAAGTGGCAGATTAAAACTGACCATCAAGGACAATACCGTTCAAACATGTTCTTGATTGATTTATAGGTGGAGGTTATACCTTTGCCTTACTGTGAGTTTGGTTCAGAAGGAAAACAAATGCACAAGGATCTGTTGATTTCAGTTGAATCAGAAAGTAGTGCAAATGTAACACAAAATTAGGATCTAACATAACATTAGGGGGGGTGCGTAGTAATCAGCAGCAAAACGCTTCGACACGTGTATTTCGATTTATTCACGGCATTCTTTTTGTTATTCCACAGTATTGTTGTGTTATAGTTATTTTTTAATGTATATAACCCAATTTGTGTTCTTTGAAATTGAAAAGGATATTGCATTGTGTGTGTTACTTTCGGAAGTTGTTGTTGCTATGGAAACAACGTGATGGAGATTAATGGAGAAAAAGTAATATCTACATATAAAAACGGAGAAAGTAAACAATAACGTTTATGGTTAAGTGTTAGCACCCCCCGAAGAGGCACAAGCTCTTACGTTGATATTGGAGATTTCAATTAATTAAAAAAATAAAAGCGAAAAAAACCGAATATCCGAATATTGAAATTGAAACCCGAATAATACTCCAACGAACGAACGAATATTCGGATATTTGGGTACAGACCTACTATGTGGTGGATTTCCCAAATGTTTTCTATTAGGACAATTATTAATAAGATATCTGTATTTGTACAAAACTTCTCAGTGTCTATTGATTGTAATCATCTCTTTCTATGCAGATGGGCCTGCAGCGCTGGTGGGAGCAGGAGATTCCTGTGGACGGAGCGATCAACAAAGGAGAGCTGATGACACACAACCTGACAGAGCTCATAAAGCCTGAATCCTACGAGGTGCGGCTGACCCCCATCACACGATTCGGAGAGGGCGACTCCACCATCCGGATCGTCACGTACAGCGGTGAGTGCTATAAACCGTCTCTCAGGAGGACTGTGATCAGTCTGCTCTTACTGCTGGATTTGAATGTCCCCACGTATGGATTAGAGAGTTAAACACGTCAGGGGAGACGCAGATTCACTTCATTATTCTACTTAGACGTGGCTGCACAGGTGGAGGAATTACAGCTACAGCTGGTTATGTTATCCTTCTGCTAACTACGACATACTACTCCATTTTAACAGCTTTAGTTTGTGCTGCCGCATATGGACACATGCTTATCAACATTGATGATATCACAGGTTCACTCTGGTACCAGCCATCTTTACCATGATCCTAGGAGGCTTTGTTATGTTCGATTTATAAAGAAGGTGCAGTAGAAATTAAACTCATTAAAGGGACCCTTTTATGCTTTTTGGGAGTTTTGATAATAGGGCCCCTTTAAAATTACCTGAGCTGTCAGTACACAGTTCAAATTAGGCTTGCTTTGCTTCTTTTGTCACTTTGTGTAAAGTCCGATCAACTGACTAATTATCTCGTGCTTGTGACTTGTATTGCCTGAGTCAGCTTTTATTGTGATCTCGGACACAGGCTGACTTGTTGTTCCTGTGCATGTGAGATCATTGTGACATCAGAGCATCAGAAGTACCTCGAGTCACAAGTCCAAACACTGACAGTAATACATTTGCTTTACGCGGTTATCCCCCAAAAACAATATATTTTTATGTGAGATTGCTTTTAATTGTTTTGTCAGGAGATATTATTTATAGTCCTGGGATTTTTTTCCACAAAATAAAAGCGTTTTTGTTTTATATCGCAAATATTTTTCAAAGGTCCTAAGCCTTTCAACGCCCCAAAATCAGGACAATAACATGACTTGGTTTATGTTCTTATTTAAATCAGGGCTATAGTAATACAACATCATGTAGATTCTTTGTACTGTGCAGCAGGCCTGCACTGTATCCTCTTGCAAATGGAGGCCCATCCTTCAGCCTGCTGGACGACACGCTGGCTGCAATGCTAACACTACATTAGTATCCCCAGTCGGCCCAGCAGTGACAGTTAACAGATGCACAGCTACTTGAGATGTGCATTTTCAGAAACAAACTAGCCCACTGTTTTCTGTCTTCCTGAGTTGTGCTGCTGCAGTTGTGAATTATTCAGTTCCACTGCAGCTCATCACGGCTGCTCAAAAGAGAATATCGGGGATGAGAGAGGTAAAACTTTCTCTGCTGTTATTTTTTCAAGCATCGTGAAGCAAATTGTGCTGTCTCTGCTAAACCTTGATTTGAAATCAGTTGAATCAAAATTGAATCCAATCAAAGTGAAGACTAGTGAATTGAGGCTAATTAAGAAAGAGAGAGGCGCTAGAGAAGTGGTAGGCAGCCAAGTTGGGACTGAGGGAAAGAAAATAGAGGAACAAAGTTAAAAAAAAAAGACAGCAATGCTGATGTGCGAATGGGCTGCCCAACGAGAGACCAGACTAATTATCACTCTAGGGCTGCTCTGTTCTCCCACGCTCTGCACAGCGTCACGAAGCAGCCTCGGCAGGTCTGATCAGATCCACTCTGCTCCCGTAAGACAGCCTGATGTACAGTCCTGCATCATCTCCATTATCGCTTCCTTTTCACTCTCACTGGGGAACAGGAACCACATCAATACAAGTGTATGGAATAAATGTGTGTGATTTTATAATCGTATGCTTCTATGGTTAATCGTTATGTTAGCAGGTTTTATTCCAACTCTTATTATATATAAATGAGTGATATATTGTATTGCGAGGAAGAGTAATCCAATTATGCCTTTACTTGGACATAGATTAGAGAGTCCACAAGATGTTTTACTAACCAACCTATATTTAGCAATTTTATTACTGACAGCTACAGTACGCTTCTGTTTGAGTCACTGACGTCAAAGAACTGACCATCAATAGCACAATTCTGTGGATAAGTGCTCTGCTGTTTGAGCAAACTCTTGAATTATCTGATGAGGATTCTGCTAGGAGAATGTATCCAACCTTGATAAACACATACATGATTAAATACTTAAATCCATAAAACCTAAAGCAGTGATGATTGACAGGTGCTGAGGAGCAGGGTAATAGTGAGAAGTGTTATGTTATATCGACTCTGATTTTCAGGCGTTAGCTGCAGATGCCATTCAGCTAATGCAACCCCAGGCAGTACATACAACATGTATGTATTCAGGGTTTGAGTATGTACTGTGGTGTGTTGACGCCGGGAAAGTTAGTACACTCAAAACAGTATGCTAAGGTGTGTTGTACACCGCTGGGACTCAAAGGAATGCACTAGGAAAAGGGAGGGGCCACTCACACCTGCAAAAAAGTACAAACAAAGCTGATGGTGGTAAAAGCTTTTGAGAACATGAAAATAAAGAATAAGCTATCTACTGGTAAAGTTGAATATGCAGTGCTATTTCTTCTTAACCTGAATCTGTTCATTTTGATTTGATTTTTTTTATACTTACAAAAAAACAATGTACTTGGTCAGTTAGTATTCAGTGTATCCTATTAACAGTTTTTATTCTAGAGTGACTCATCTTTGCAGATAGAAACCTGTTCAAAGTGTTACCATTCCACAGTTACCCATTTTCATTTTGAGTTACCCAGCTGGCATTTAAAAGTACAAGGACAGGCCTTGACTGAGGTTTTGTTTTAATGCTCAAATATAGCACAAAAAAAGTGTTTTTATAGTTTGGCTTGCAATCGGGTCATTTGCTATTTTTAATATGCTGAAAAAATGCTCAACCTTTGACACTTGCATTTTGAATCAGACACATAAACAGAGTACTTTGAGAAGATGACATATTCTTCATTGAAATTCAGTCATCTCAGTGCGTGACGGTTTTCTTTAGCACTGTTGTTTCACTCCTGGAAAGCAGTGAGGGGGAATTCACCTTTAGCCTCTGGTTATGCTCCGGAGTTTGCACATTTTCCCTGTGTTTGCTTTGATTCCCTTCAACAAATCAGAAAGACATACAAGTTTGGAGTCTTCAAATAACCCTCAGGTGTAGATGTGAGAGTATTTTCTTTCTGTGTTTGTCCAACTGTGTGTGCTTGTATGCTTGCCATGCAATAGTAGCCTTGCTTTCACTATACCAAAAAATATATATTCTCTATTTCCCCACGATAGTAAAAATTAATGTGTCTGTCCAAAGCAAACAACAAAAATATGATAGCCGCTTTGTTAGCTGTTAGAATAAACAATGCTGTCCTCCTTCCACCATAAGGCCACTAAAATTGAAGTATTAGAGAGTTTGCTCGTCCTTGCCCAGTAGGCCATGCGATCATTCTGATGCACATAAAGCCGATGGAAGCAGCTTTTCTGTGAGTTGGCAAGAAAAAACAAAGGCGGTTATAGTGTCCCCAGCTGTAGGATGAAGGATGGTTGTGTCACGGCGCTCCAAAGACGTTCTTTTAAATTGTGCTGCAGTGAAAAACTCAGCATCTGTTTGGTTTTCCTCACAACATCCGTCTCTCCCTCTCTCCCTGGTTTCCTTCATGGCACAGGAAGTAATGTCTGAGCCTCCTGTCATCCTTCACTGTGGCACGGCGAAACAATGCGGATATTTCTTAATATTCCATTTTTATGCAGCTCCTAGTGACACATACAGTAAGATGTCTCTCTGTAAGGTGATACCCACTAAATCTTATATTAAATACAGTTTTTCTGCTTTAGATAATATCTGTTGCCCGCCATAGCGGTGGTGTTGGGGTCTTAATATTCGGCCAGCGGTGGTTCAGTATAATCCCTGTCTGAGCTTTGTTCAGTCATGGTCTCTGTTTACCTGAGAATTCAATGAATCACAGCTTTGGGAAAACATATATTTTATTATTAGTTTTCTCTTTTACTGATATAAGCCTCAAGCTGTCAACGTAGGGTTTTCTTTAGAATATTGTGTTATTGCAGGGTATTTTTTCCTGGACAGAAGATAGATACAACTCTCATGGTTGTCTGTTAAATATGAAACGTTACCAGCCAGCTTTGTTTAAAAGGACCCTATAATGCTTTTTTGGGGGTTTGCCTCCGTAGTGTGTTATAGGTGTTTGTGCGTGTAAATGGTCTGCAAGGTTCCCTCCAGAGGGAGTGTCTCTCCCACAGACTCCAACCTGAAAACCCTCCATTGGACGCCTTTGTTTGTTTTACATCACTACATAACTCTTGCATTTCTATTGCGTCATCATATTGGGTCATCTCTAAGGAGTTGACCAAGCACAACAGAGCCGGCCAACTAGCCAATCAGAGGAGACTGGGCTCTGGTCTCAGACAGAGGGTGAAAGAGATGCTGCAGCACAGGCAGTATGAGAAAAATAAAGACCTGTTAGTAGAACATTGAAGCATCTCAACGTGTCACAGTGGAGGCACAACATACAAATATGAACCTGAAAATGAGCAGAATAGGGCCTCTTTAAGACAGATCAGAACTAACATGTAGCATTATTGATTATATTATGATATATACAGTATATATAACTTGTTGTGCATTCTTGCGTTTTAGACCACTATTTAGAGCTCATCCATGTGGAAGTCCATTAAGGATTCACTTGCTTGCATCAATGTGTTATACACGCTGATGCAAGAGCAGGATAATACACAGGAGATTACTGACACGGGGAGGCTGTGTTTGGGTGTGTTCAGTTTTATTGAAGGACACACTAGTGTGAAGTCCCTTGTGTTATTTCTGTTATTTCATGTCCGGAGACATGAGGGGAAGACTGCAGAATTACATTTGCCCACGCTGGTATTAGCTGTGAAACCATCACAAAGCTCTCTCAGAACGTCATGGCACCCACCTAGACCCCCTAAACGTGATGGATGGGAATCTCTGAGAGCGTGAATGATATGAGGTCAGTGAAAAAAAAACGAAGAAGCTGGACTGCTGTTGTCTTTGAGGACACTTGGCTGGAGCCATGAAATCGTCTGCTGCTTTGTAATACAGCCTCAGGCCAGTGGGCGGGGAACCCAGCCAAGATGAAGTCAGTGTATCCGGAACAGCCTCCACGGACCGCTGTCCTTTGGCGGTCAATGAGCTCACTTTGTGTTTCAATCAAAATTAGGCAATTTGGATGGAAGGCAGTCATGCATCAAGCAACAGTTTGCTTTGTCCTCTGAGTTGGAAAAGCAGGAAGAAGATATAAAACTTATAGTGATTGTAGGCTGAGGACATGCCCTTTCATAACAGAAGTTTTCAAATAGCTGCGTTGTCGACTCACTTCAATTCACACCGCAATCACAAGGACTGTTTACCTTGAGAACTATTAAGATTATGTTTGATCCTGGATCATTATTTGAGTGTTTTTTAGTAGCTTGAAGGGAAAGCTGAGTGCTCCAGTGTAACTGCGAGAAAGCCATATTTTTGTAAAGTTCTTCCAGTTGCTTGGGGGCTTTTTCTCACCAATGCTATAACAACATGGGGCATTTTGATGAGAGTGTTTGAGGTTCAATCATGTTTTTCCGGAGCTACAGAAGTATTCGAGGACGAGGCTTGAACATCATCACCTTGAATTAATTGTGTTCCTTGTTTGCTTTCCAATTTCCAATACAGTTATCCAAATTGGTAGTTAATTCCGGTATTGTGTGTGTATTTTTTGGAAGTGTGTGTGCATGCACAGCGCTGGTTGAGCCCCCTCTGGGCCTGCTCTGTGCTCGGCTTGATTTCATCAGCAGGGGTGGAGCTCCAGCAGCCACATTCATCTGGACTAAGGCACCGTGTATCAGCCTGGGGAGGGTGCAGGTTTAAAAAAATAGTGACAAGGAAACATATTTTCATAACCACCGTCTTGGAAGAAAGAAGGGGGCAGGAGGGAGGGGGTGTGAGGACAGCTGCAGGGAAACGGGATGCTGTGAGGTAAAGAGGGGATGCTGAAAAGAATGGAGTTCTCTCAGAAAATTCAGCATCCGTTTCAGCGGCCCGAGGCTGTGAGTTGTCATTTAAAACATTTTCTCTGCAACAGCCCAGATGATTTCTCTTCAGTGCCTCTCTGTGCAGCACAGCGTAGTTTCAGGAGGAAGCAAACAGTGTTTGGGTGCAGGTTTCTTCAGGATCGGTGACATAAGGATTATTAAAGCTTTTATAGTGCACAGCCTGTTCTTTCCACACTTTGTGGCGAGGCTCCAGCTGCAGTGTTGCAGTTCACTGAATGTTTTATATGATTCAATTGGAAATGTAATGGTTTGTTCTCTCTCTCTATCCACCCCCCCTTCTCTCTCTGCGTGTGCCTTTGTGCTTATGTCCTCTTTTCTCCACAGTGTACACGTGGACACACGTTTCTATGAACCGCACGGCAATAAACAGAAATCACTTCTTGAGTTTCTGCTTTTAAAAAGAGCAATTCCACTGTCCCCGCGGTACTTCCCCACTCCTCAGTACATGTTTTCCTTTGTGGGAATGATTTGTTATTACTCACTTTAATTGGTAGGATTAAAATCAATTCCCCCCATTGAGCAGCAAGGTTTCATAAATCACGGGGCAACGTAGTTTTGTGGTAAAGCTGATGTATCGCATCTATTCAGCCGGTCAGCAATCGATCATGAAAATGCCCATGAATCTTCTTGACAGGTTAAATGGTATTTACTCTGCAAAAAGTGAAGTGCCGACTAACTGTCTCGTTGCAACTCTGCGTGGTACCCTTGACCTTTCTGTATTTGCTGCGGCGGTAGCCTCTTAAATTATCAATGAGGGGAGGCATTGAACCGCGGTGAGGTGGACAGAAAGCACAAAGAACCTTGCATGTATTTCAATAGACTCAAGCCACTGGCGTAAAAGTTTCCATAATGACGGTGTTGAAACCACACGAAGAATCAAGGATGTCACAGGAAAGTGATTAGCAGACACACTTGTGATTGTTACTCATTTCTCTTTCGACTCCACTTCGAGCGATAGAATTACTAACAAAGAACTGCTAACAGATCACTTATATACTGATAAAGGGCTGGCTTATCTAAAGCCAGTTGAGTAGCACTTGAAATGTTTTAGCTCGATGAAACTTGATGTACTTACCGGTATATGATTCTGTTTTCTTCAAGTTTGTATCTTCTTGGTCGAATGTACTTATTGTAAGTCGCTTTGGATAAAAGCGTCAGCTAAATGTAATGTAATGTTTCTATGATTTATTGGCTTCTAATGGAAGTATAAAACAGGCTTAGTGCTCTTAATGGAAGTCCCCTTGAACAAGAACATCAGCAATGTCGGTAAATGGCAATAATGATAAGCAGTTGCGCTATAAGCTTATTAATGTGGTCAGGCTAGTCTTCCTAATCCCTCTGTCTTTTACATTTGATAACCCCAGCTGTCACCTTCTCCAGACATCTCTTTTGTCTGTCTGCTCCATGGTAATTGCATTGTGTGCCGGCCGATTGCGTCCTGTTTAGCTCTTTACTTTTTTATTTGTACACTGTGAAGGCAATGGAGCGTGACGAAGATGGAGCGTACCTCCAATATGCTTCCAGTTTTTTAATATCACAGGACGGTATTTCCCACGGGCCTCTTTCATTAAGTTTACTGTGCTAGCTCTAACTTTTTATACATGTAGGCTTTTATTAGCTCTGCGCCTAAACATTACATGACAGCGAGGCGGAAAGGTTAATAGCAGTGAGCTTTTTTTTTTACTGTGAGCATGTACGTCTTGTATTTCCTGTCTCCTTTGGTGGAGCACATTATATCAGACAAGCGTTTTTAAAGAGCGACAGTTTGAGTGCCTGCGTGCGCCTCGCTGTGCGTTTCCTTTTAAAAAGCGTTTCACTCATTGACAGATGGCTAAGATATTTCCTACTAATGACTCTCTGGCCTTTTCTCTTTCACAGCTCCCATCAACCCTCACCTGAGTAAGTAATGTGCACCTCACTTAGCATGGCTCAGCAGAGAGCGAGCTCCGTATGTCGCAGCACAGCCTGCCGGAACAGTGGGGAGACTCCAAGTAACTGCACATCCCGTAGAGATCTGACTCTCAACATGTCACACTGCTCTGGAACATCCTTCTAAGTATTCTTACCTAATGAAGTATGATGAGTTTGACTTCCTTTTGAATCCTGAAGCAGGCCATCTGACATGTTGAGAGCTTTACATCTCAGCAGGACATTGTACCTTTTGGATGGAGTGTATTTGCATGAGATTTGTGTGTGTGTGTGTGTGTGTGTGTGTGTGTGTGTGTGTGTGTGTGTGTGTGTGTGTGAGCACATTTGCACGCTCTGTGCTTTGTGAGCATTACTTCTGCATGCATCTGTGCCGTATGTTTATATCCTTTAATGTTTAGTCCCATTTATGACACATTTCATTGTCGAAACTTTACAAATTCGCATTATTCACGCCTTGAGAATCCTCTCTTAATCATTGTGTTGCCGTGTACCGCGGTTTATTTATTTTTATAGATACATATTTTGGTGGGTGTTCGCTCAAACATTGCCAGCATAATAACAAACATCCTAATCACCAACATCATTATCCAAATCCCCGAAGGAAGCTATCTTACCTGCACGCCTCCCCTTCCTCCCTCCTTCCTCTGCCTTCGCCTCCAAATCCCCCTATCTCTCCCGGGCGCACAAGGCGAAAACATTTAGTTTAGCTCACAGTGGATGAGGGCGTTTGTGTCTAGCGCCGGGAGCTAGACCTCCATTTAAATCTGCATCCCTATGAGGAGAGGAGTCAAGAGTGTTCACAACCCGGCCCTCCCCACTTCTTCCTCTCCTAGACTCACTTTCCATCTCACTCTGCCTGGCAGCTGCTCTGCCCTTCTTCCTTCCCATGGTCCACCCACACTACCTCAGTCTATGTTACCTCCATTACCTGAGCAAAAGCTGCAGATTCTGCGCCTCTCAAGGTCACCACTCCAAACTGCTCCCAGCTACGTTTTAATAAATCAATGAATATTTATCAGAACACATGCCTGCATCCTGAATCCAAATGTTCCTTTTTACTATCTCTGTGAGGACACTGCTCAGCAGCGCCGTGTCCTCTGGTTAGGTGTTATTGCTTTGTCTGTTACATGGATTAAATGGAGATTTTGACACTGTTGATCCTGCCGGTTCCCTCTTCATTATGGGCTAGTTCCCTGCACGTGTGATTTCTGAATATTAGTACGGTCTCTGTCCGGCATTCACCGACATGTGACCCATTTTAACCCCACGCCAGAGATGACTTTAATTCATTTCTTGAAGGTTGATGAAACTTAGCTGAACTGCCTCTTTGCACACTCCACTAGTTTAAAAATTGCGGTCTTGCAGAGTGATGGATGAAAAGAGAGGGCGAAGGGTGAGCACCCAATATCTCCACCTGCACACCCACTAAAGATAAGATGAAGAGCTGGTGTCAATTTTAAAAACTGATAACAGACACTACAATACATCCAAGGACAACCATTTTTACATTCAATCTTGAAAAAAGGGTTATTTTTTCATTCACAGTCATTTATTTACGCCTTATGCTACTTCTAGAATTGTATCTATTAAACTATGATACATTTAGAAACCCAATTTTATGTTTCCACCCTCCTTCCACACACACACACACACACACACACACACACACACACACACACACACACACACACACACACAGAGAGACACAAACTGCCATTGGGTACTGCTCTCTTCCTGCATAGACTTCTTTCGTTGTCAGGAAAAATAGCAAACGCACTCATGACGTCTCCACCGCAGTCAGTGAGAGGTCACATCTTAATTTAGAAACTCTTTTACAGATAGTGTGGTGTAATTAGGACTTTGCTGTTATGTATGCCCCGGGGACATACACACACTCATAAATCTCATAAATATACAGTAGGTGTCGGGCTGCACGCTAACTGTACCTACGAGGCAGTGTGTAAGCTCTCACTCTTTCATAATGCTGTGACTGTTAGAGCCTGGTTCTGCTCTGTCGCTCACCAGGAGAGTTCCACTGCAGCTTTGAGGAGGAGGCCATCTGCATGTTCACCCAGGACAAGAATGACGATTTTGATTGGACGAGGCACAGCGCTGCTACCAGAGACACCAAGTACACCCCCAACACCGGGCCGAGCGGGGACCGCAGCGGTTCCAAACAGGGTAAGAACTTCTCAAAGTCTCAATTGTTTACTAAACACCACATCCCCATACATTAATAGCACAATCATAGCATAGCTTTAGTAGGACTAATGCTTAGTATCTAAGAGTTTAACCCGGTTCAAATGGTATCAACCAACTAAATGGGCCTTTTTCGTGATTTTCAGTTTTCAATTGGGTGCTACACCAACTAGTAGCAAAGGCGTAATATCATTTGACGTTGTATGGAAAGCCCAAAAGTCCTTAAGGATGTAGGTTGAGGACAATTGACACAAATCAACATACATCCTGAAGACCAATGCAAGAGTCACCTGAGAGACCGAGAATGTTTTGTCTTTGTTTATACAATGTTAAGTTTCACTTTCACTTCACAGTCATAGTTAATTTAACACGACCAAAATAATTTCGCTAACCTAACCAAGTACTTTTTTTGCCCAAACCTAAAGAAGTAGTTGTTCGTCATGTTACGCTCCATTCACTTTACCTTGTGTTGATTTACTTTAACTTTAACAATTTAAGTAGGCACAATTGACACATTAGAATATTCATGAGAACCACTCATAATGCTCATGCAGCCAGCTGATAACATTTAAAATGGCCTTTAATGACCAAGAAACCGAACAAGAGCAAAAATGTAAGGAATGGATTAAACAATTGATGATATTCTCTAACGTCAAAGTCCAACATTATCATGCTCAGCTAACTAGCTTACTCCCTAGCTATAAACATACTATTTAAAATGATGATGTAGGAAATCTTTGAATATTCAAATCTGTTAGACACTTGTATGTATGCCACTTCACTGAAAACTCCATTCTCAGCGTGCGCCTGCTGAACGCCTCAAGTTTTCACACCACACTAAGATTTAAGGTGAGCACACAGAAACTTTCCCCCTGTCAGCAGATATCAAAAAAAACTCTGCACATAAATTATTCTGCACAGTGAAACCTAGATATGCAAGTGGAGTACAATGAACAATAAACCAAGTTTTATTGCCGGGGAGGGTCTTTTACAAAAAAAGATGCATCCATTCAATATAAGTTGTCAAAACAGAAAATAAATCTCTGAAATAAGTACGAAATTGGACCATCCATTTCATTCAACTTCAGATTTAAGCTGACTCCTTTGTTAGCTCAGCTTTTCGCAACTGTCATAGTGAATGTGTCTGAGACATATTCAGCAACAGGTACCGGAAGAGAGAGGGCACTGGAGTGAGCAAAAGGGGAGAAGTTAGGATTAAATGTGAAAACAGGCTTCCGACCAACTCATAAAGTTAGCATTAATAAGCTAGCTACCTGATAAAACCAGCTAGCAACAATTTTCATTTCTAATAACAAAATCAGCCGATGGCTAGAAAATAGTAACACTTAATGGGAATATGCATTGTTCTCAAAACAACTGTGAGTTTAAATCTGCCTCTGAATGTGTTCTTATAGAAATTATATTTTGACCCAGATAGCTACAGGGGGCCTAGCAAAGGGTCGGCTTATTGGTTCCTTTGATGAATCATCATTAAGGAGATTATTTGATTGAGCATTCCGTTTTATAGCTTTATACTCATGGGGGCACGGTGATTTCTCTGTTCACAACAGTCCAATCATGTGTAATAACCTGGGCTTGGATTGGAAACTCTGCTTTGCCAATGGTAGTGTGAATGTGTTTGTCTATGTGTTAGACTTGTTCAGTGTATCCCTGTTTTTACACCACACATGCTGAGAAAGACTTCTGCTCCACTGAACTAGAATATGTGTATGCAGAGAAAAGATATATATAGTTGGATACATGTTATATACCTGTAGATAAAGTTAGATACAAATCACCTACCGACTGAACATTCACTTATCAGTGAGCCAGGTAGGGAATATATTTTTCACAGCTTGGGGTTTATAGATTTAGCTGAACAATCATATTGCAATTTATGCAGGATTAAGAAAAAAACCCAGTTGTTGTAAGTGTAAGCGGTTATTTTTGCCAGCTGTCAGAGCGGCTCTGAACACACTGCACCTGCTCATTGGATTGGAAAAACCCCGGTTGAATGCACACATTTAAATGGACACCACTCTGTTATTTCTTATGTAATCCATGCATGAATAAATGAACCCCTACAGTGCACCAGGCAAACAGTGTCATTATCATGTCATTGCTAAATTACCTGGCAAGATGTAAAATTAGCATTGAATGGATTGTACCAACTTAACAAACAGTTCACAAAAAGTTTCACTTTTTCATCTTTTTATAATAAGATAGAAAGAACCCAGTGTTCTTGGCTCTATAATAGATGTTATTCTCTGTAGACATTGTGTCATCAATTGTTTGATGCAACGCAATTAAACAATAAACAGCCTTGATCATTTAAATGTAAGAATAAATGTTCTCTGCTGCTGTTTCCATTGGTGCCTCAACCAGATAAATATGCACAGGAAAAAGTATCCAATATGTAAGTTACATGTGCAGGTATTTAATATTCGAGAACTTAATGAATAAAGAATAAAAAATAATTGGATTTGCAGGATTTCATATGAATCTGCTGTTGGGTGGTATCTTTGGTGGAGTATAAGTGCCTATTATGGCGCTGTGGCACCGGCAGCAGCTGAAGCAGTAAATAATGCATTGGCTTTAATCACCTAATGGTTTCCAAATGTCCAGCATTTCATTACCGGCCCCATTCCTCTTTTCGTATAATTATCTGATATGAGATTCAACTGAGGGAGATATTCCATTTGATTTTGGCTGCAGGGGCGTGCTCACTAGCTACCTTCCCTGTGCCAGTGGCAGGGTGGAGATTGGCTTTAGATCATGTGGCACAGACACCACCGGGGGGGGCAGTTTGACTCGCTGCCGTCACCGTGCTGTCCGCCACCGTCAGATGGAGGGAGCAGAAATGTAACCCCATTGTTATCGCCTTGATTCGCCCCTGGTTGTTGCTATTAGTCAGAGATGGCAAAAGTACACACATCCTTTACTCAAGTAGAAGTACAGATACTCGTGTTTAAAAATACTCTGATAAAAGTAGAAGTACTGACTAAACTTCTTTACTCAAGTAAAAATAAAGAAGTATGGGCTTCTAAATGCACTTAAGTCAAAAGTACCCATAACTACTAGCTGTTTTAAAGAGTACCTGACCTCCCTTTATATTAATAGAACAATAATGTCATTGTTAGCTAATGAATGTTTCGATGCTGAACAACGGCAACATGACAACGTTTTCATTGGTCCCTCTTCTTTAGAGAAGACCAGGAAATGATGGATACACGGATCGTGTTAAAATCAATAGGCACGCAATGACTCTAAATAATAATGATCAGGCCACCAAACACAGATTAAAACTAAAGGAACCAGCCTGTTTTGAAAATGTAAGAAGTAGAAAGTACAGGTATTTATGTTAGAATTTTGTAAGAAGTCAAAGTAAAAAGTCGTCAGAAAAATAAGTAGTGGAGTAAAGTACTGATACCAGAAAAATGTGCTTAAGTCGAGTAACGAAGTATTTGTACTCCACTACTTCCCACCTCTGCTATAAAAATAAAACTGTCCTACTGCCCCTTATCTCTTATACAGAGGGTTTCATTTCCATCATGCCATCGCAAACTGGTTGAAAAATATCCCCGAGCATGACCAAGGAGGACTTGTGGTGTCTACAGTGACAAATGATTTCCCGGTGTATCTGTGGGCAATCACAAAGTAGTTGTGGGACTCTGAACACTGTCTGACAAACGCTCTCATATTTTTCAAAGGGTACATCTACTGTGCAGTTTCCCAGGAAGGCACAACGACTTTGTCCTGTGTCCTGAAGACAGCCACGAGGCATATTCAGATAACACACTCTATATACAGCACTATAAAGAAACTGAATACATTTGCCCTATAGGGGATACAAAATGAAATCTGGACAGAACAAGAAAGATGAGTAACCTGACAATCTGGCGGGTTTAGAAGCATCTGCCCATGATAGACTACTACCTAAACTGTCTATTAAAAATTCCTTTAAACTATATCCTCACAATTTGTATTTGAATTGATAGATTATTACTAAACCAGGGTTCAACCACCTTTGGTTTTTCATCCAAATAAAGTGATTTAGATAATGTGGCTTGAGTCTTGGCTTGTTCCCAATCTGTATAATCATCTCAGAGCTTGTTTGTATTGATTCTGTGGGTATAATTGTAACACTGACTGTCTTATTTGTGTTTCTAGGTTTCTACATGTACATTGAGACATCAAGACCACGGAAGGAAGATGAGAAAGCGCGACTAGTCAGTCCGTTTTTCAACGTAGCACCTAAAAACCCTTACATTATCACCAACCCGCCTGCCTACTGCTTCGGCTTCTTCTACCACATGTATGGGAAACACATAGGTAAGACACACTCCTCATTCCTTCACTGTCTCCAGTCTATACAACAAATGTGTGTGTGGGTTTAATCTGCCATAGAGTTCATCCCCTGCTGAAAAGATCATCTTCATTTATATTCACTGCTCAATGGTTCATGGAAACTGGTGAATAAAAGCATAATTAGAGTCGTTCTTTAAATAATCTGTCACTCGAGCAGCAAAAGCAACTTGAAGTGAGTTTAAATTGCTTTGGCTATTCACTGCTAAATGAAGGAGATGCATTCTTATGTATGTGAATCTAAATAACATTCAATGAACCAACACAACAAATTGCATTTACCAAAGAAAACTCCACCACCATCATCTGTTGGACGTCACACTGCCTTTGAAACATTAACGGAGAGATGGTGTTTCTTTCTCTCTGTGTTTCACAGTAGGTTTTTACTTCATTTTGTCAAAGAATTGTTGTTTATTATGAGACACTCACTGAGGAGAAAAAGTAAAACCACGGCACTTTTTTCCAACTGAATCTCAGTCCTTTCCAGAGAGTTGGTCCCATGTCAGGTGTGGCGGGGAGTTTTTATGCTTTCATGCTCAAATTTAGTAAGTGCAGCTGTAAGGTGTTTGAAGCAAAACATATCTCACTTTTGCAACAAACCTCTTCAAAGGTGTGTACACAAATCCTGGGCATTAGCTCTTACGTTCCTCTCTGAATGTAGATAACAAGCTTGTGTGGCCCATTTGAAGATGGCAGAGCGTCTGAAGGAGCCTCCTGTGGCTCGAGGCTGTCTTTAAGGCTTCCTCCACCGGGGACCCAATCAGCCAACCCCAACACTCAGGCTCTGACTGTGTGACTGTGACTTTGGGACAGAAGACAAATAATAAATAACTTTGGCACAAAAGCTGCAGACTTACATTTTTAAGGCTTCTTTTTGTGATTTGTACTGTTTGGCTTTACCCTGAATCATTAGCTACTGCACAGGTTCTTAGGGCAGGTGAGGAGTAGGAGCCCCGCTGGGGGGGGTTGCAGGGTCACCGTGGTATTGAGCTAATATTGTGCATTCTAGGCTACAAAAGATGATGTGTCCTTCTTTTGTTATTTCGTTTTTCTCTTAGGTAAGAGAAACACTTTTACCAATGTCTAGTGTGAATTGCTTATAGCAGATTTAATAAGTGATACCAAATATACATAGTATTGATGATTAATAACTTAATAGGATGTATCGTGTAAAACCACACTTTATATTTAAGTTTCCATTTTATTTACTTGTTATATTATAATAACATGTTAGTTCAGCATAACACAAAGTCATATTTTTTCGCATTCAAAATCAGTTCACTTGTTCAAAGTTGGGTCTGCCTCTGTTGATATGGTCCCTTGTCTTTGGTCAGTTTATGTGTAAAGGTCATAGGAAGTAGTTGAGGTCATAAACTTGAGCAGCTTTTAGCTAAATATTATTCCCTCAGTCTTTGCTGGCCTGTAATAATTATTTTGCAGTCACCAATCATTCGCTACAATTTGAAAATGTACTGTGAAAAACGTATTTGTCTCGTGTTACGGACCATCACCTTTGACATTTGTACTTTAAAACAATTGTATGACTCAGTTGTTGTCTTCCATCAAGGCATTCTCTGTGATTTGTTCACATGCAAATCCATTTGGGACATTCACTGTAAGCACAGCAGCCTTGAAGCTCAGTTTGTGGGGCATGTGAGGTTGACACGCTCACAGACGGGTCTGCTTTAAACAAGGACTTGCCGAAATGTTTCTCTAAATAACAGTACATTTTAATGACTAATTTAGAAAGTCAAAGTTTGAAAGAAAAAAACATCCTTAAGTCATTTGTGTTTAATACTCGAAAATCAAGGAAATGGTGTGGTTTAATCAAATTGGAATGACAGTGTCCCAACAACCCAAATAACTCTCCCTGAGAACATACTGCCAAATCCTGATGGGTGCATGAAAGTACCCTTCTTCCAAATGTGGCTAAATCACTATAAACCAATGACAGACAAAAAACACAAATATCTCCAAACTATGGCAGATTATTTTTTGTTCATGTTTACTTTTATAAGGAAGCAGATGGGCCATTAAAAAAGACAAAAACATCGACACAGAAACATCAAGTGAACTAAAATGACTGCTGCCCTAAAATATATATTTAATAAACCAAAAACAATTAGAAGAAAAAAAAAGATATTAAAGGAAGTTGGAATAGTGAGAAATAATAGTAACTGGTCTCTAAGAGGGGACAGGGAGTTGCAGATCTGTGCTCATTAAACTTCATGTTCAATAAACTGTGAAATCACTACAGGCTGGCAACTGCACTCGACTCTGCTTTGAAAAGATGTTTACAGCGAGCATTTGGCTGCATTTACCTCAGTATTCTGGTGAGACCTTGATGGTATCAACTCCATCTCCACCCTCCACCTGCTCCGTTCCGAGCTGCTGCTCCGACCCCCCCTCCCCCACTCTCTTCTTCCTTATTTATTTTTGTTTTGAGTGTGATGGTTTATATGTTTTTCTTAAGCAATATTTTGTATTTTCTACTATTTAATTTCCTTTGAGGTTTGTTAGCTGACTCTTATTTGAATTGGTAATATAAAAAGGCTTTCAGATTGTTCTATCGAGGAAAAGGCACATTTTCAAGATGTAAATGCGACCTAAATGAGTGTTTGGGAATTTTACCTCGGCCAAAGGGGTAATGTTTTCGGTCCAGCATGTGCTTTATCAGCAAAATTACAAGTCTGAATAACAGGGTGGACCGTGGACACAATCCTTATTTGTTACCAATTGAAACAGCAACGGCAGAGGTCTGAGCACTCTGAGTGTCCTAGTGATGGATGTATTGTAAGACAAAAACGTTTTAAATAAAACAAAAATGACATTTCCAATTTGATACAACTAGCCATATGGTTTTTTTTTTATATGTATTTTGGATGAACCGTCCGTTTTACAGTGAGTTGACAGCAGGGCTCCATATGGTCTAAAATTCAGCCTGGCTACTTATCAGCAGTCCTCAGGGGAAAGGCTGAGTGGAAGTGTCCAGGTGGGGGTGCCGGACCGAACATCTGGAGAGGTGGAGGCGAGGGAGGTGGACGTACTATAAGGACGGAGGTGTTGGAGGGCGACTCAGCGGGGAGATGAGAGCTCCTCCGGCTCCCTGCCGAGGTTGAGTAGGCCATGACATTTCCAATTTGCTCAAATTGATCGCCAGCCAGACCCTCTCTTCCCTGCCATCCCTCTCCCCCCCCGTCTGTGGTGGAGCCCATGCCCAGACGATGGCGTGTTATGATGAATGGGCTAAATGTCAAGGACTTGAAACCCAGCTCAGATCCTCCATGGCTACGCTCCATTTAGTATTCTGCCTCTCCGGCCGTGAGAGAAATTCGCCCCAGAGCTCAGGAATGTTGGTTTGAGATATTTTCCACCCAGAGAAAAGAATGCCTTTGACAAATGGTCCAAACAATGCATGTTCACGTGTCCCGTGTTGTCTTATTGCAGGGAACTGTCATTTGAAATAGTTAACGGCTTTTAGACATGGCACAGCTCTGTGAAATGCTGGGAGGTTGATGCTCTGTGGGACTGTGCTGAGGAGGTGATTCACAGTCAAGTTGGTGCACGGCAGCGCTGAGGGCCAGAATCAGTCGATAAGGAGTTTCGCCCCCACGCTGATGAGAACTGTGGCTCAGGCTCAAAGAAACTCCTCCGTAGTTAGCTACAGGGGGATACCTGCGACAAGGTCACGCTTAATTACTGAAGCGCACATCAAAGATTGCATTTGGAGCCCGTGTCGCATTTGTTTATTGGATTAAGTCTCCGGCAAAGCACACCAAGCAAGTCTGTTTTAAGCCTGACCTTCTGAGAAGCAACAGAGTCATCCTTTCATTAGCGAGGAGGGTGGTACTGCACCTCAATCCCCCCCCCTCACTTCCTCGCTACATAATTGAACATTTCCAAGAGCTATTTCTCACTTTTCACCAGACCTCACATCTTTCTCTTCTCAGATCTTTTTTTAAATTTCACAAGTGTCTGCCACAGGTATTCCTTTTTTTAAAATTGTTTCCAAAGAAAACTCAGCAAATGCCTTTGCTCAGGATGTGATGACACTGACACAACCACCTACATCGAGATGAGTTCAAAGAAAATGTAAGCCAGCTAGCTCAGCAAGAATCCTCCTACATCCTTAAACACTTCAACATGAGATGAAACCGCAGGTCATGTTTTGTACGAGAGCTCATCTCTCACTGGAGATGGTGCTGTCGTCGGGGAAGGGGGGGGGCACTGTATAGCGCGCTGATGTGTGAATATGAATAGGGACACACGGTGTAGCTTTCCCTCCTCTCCTCACAGAGATGTACAGTAATGAGGCACCTTGCTGAGGCAAAGATGCATCAAAAACAACATCACTATCGTAGGCGTTGCTGTTTTTTGCTCGCCGGTTGTGTCAACGTATAGGTGCTGCTTTCCACGCTATTGAAATCCACTTGACTTCAGAGGAGGGGTCCTGCTGAGCTCCGCTATGGTGCCAATGCTAACCTGATTTGGGTCTTTGGATGCTGCTCTGCTAGCCCACTGCTGAAGTATTGCGCTCTCTCTCTCTGTCTTCCTGCGTGGCGCATAGAGAAAGCAACACAATTGCTTCTCTTGGAGAGCACGGTGGAGGGGTTGCACCGGGTGTCATCATCTGACAGTTTTATATCAAAAGCCTTTTGCCAGACAAGAGGTCTCACTGAGAGCAGTCTTCCATTCAGACCTGGTATATAGTCTATTCTGTCTCAATGAGATCCTGTATTTCTCTTATATAAGAGGATGTATATGAATTCAGTTAAAGGTTACCTATTATGCAAAATTCACTTTTTCATGTCTTTTATACATCAACATGTGTCCCCTCTGTGTAAAGACATTCTGAAAGTTTCAGGAAAAAAGATTGGCTCATTTTTTGTCCTGATCCATTTATATAAAAACCTGTCTGAAAATAAGCTGATCAGATCTTGGCCACTTTATGATGTCATAACGTTTTTTTGGCTTGTGTAACCATTAGCCAATCACCAACCAAGGTAACACCCGCCCACCTTATCACCTGAATTATTATTCTTATTATATTATTTTTCATCTAAAGTAACAGACAGAGAATCAGCACTTTTGAAACAGGGCGGAAACAGGGGATTATGGGATGCTACAATGGGTGATCTGTTAGGGGTTTCAGCCAAACACTTCAGAGACATGTTTTGTATATATCTGAGACCTACAGTATAATATATTGATGAAAAAGAGTATAATAGGGGACCTTTCAAATGGATCTGTCAAATTGCATTTTCACAATGCAGAGTTGGTTTAGACATCCAGGATTTCTTCTCCGGCGCAGAAGATTCAAACCGGAGCTGGACTGAGAAGAAATAGTTTGATCCTCATGATGCATTTACACTTGCCAAATATTCTCATCACGCATCGCCCATTAGGGATAATTAATTTGGGTTATAACAGGATGGAAAATAATTTATGATCGCTTGCAGAATCACAACTTAATAAATGTTTTAGTTCATGTGACCTGAGATTAACCTTTGCTACTGCCCTGCTCTGCCTCGAGTGCAGATGAATACATACATTTGAAATGCGGCGGAGACTGCTGTGAATATTCAACTTCTTGTAAATGTTCACGTCTTCTTGTATTTTCAGCTAAAAAGTCTAGAGCCGTTTTTGCAAGCACTTTCACAATGTAGTGCAGTATTATTTATCTCAAAAATAGAAAACTTCTCAAACAGGACAGATGTATTGTTAAACAATGTTAGTTTTACAGTAATTTCAAATCATTTTTTTATGAATATGAACACAAAATCTTCATGATGTCCAATAATGTTATGAATTTAACTTGTTGGTTAAGATTCATATTTTATTTTCTTAAGGATTTGTTTTCCATTTCATCCAGTAAATGGCATGGATCCGCATCAGTGCTGAAAACAGTTTAATCACAATGTTTTGTACAATCTATTCAATACCGTAAATGTCTTGGTTGAAATGATAGGGCTTCAGGATTGTGGTTAAACCTTGTCTGCTAGAGGTTTTATATATTGCTAAAGTGTGAAGCTGGTGAAATGCGATGTGGGTATTCTTCTGCAATGTTCAAATCTCATTATTACCATTAGTCATTCTACACTCATTCATAAACTAGATGGATCGGAGGGGATCAGGGTTATTTTGCAACAATTTTCTGATTATATATTTCTTTATGTCTCTATTCATACTCTCATAATACAAATAACCTTGATATGAGCTGAATAATGACAAAGAGTGGGAGAGACAGAAACAGAAGGGAGACCAAAGGAGGGAGTGTGGGCGAGAATAAAGGCAAAAGTTAACAGAAACTTTATTCAGTCTGATTGTCATTATGGTAACTCATTAAAGTAAGATTTTTTTTTAAAATAGCCCTCCAAATCATAGGTAGATAGTTTCAAAATATGTTTATCGCTTTACTAATTTGGTTTCAATCGGATCTTATTACTGGAGGTGTGTTGCGTAGTGGGTTGTCCCTAGGTGTTTCGGATCAGGGGGTCACAAGTTCGAGTCCCACTGCAGTCAGCATGTCGTTGTGTCCCTGAGACACTTCACCCCAAATGGCTCCTGTGGGGATTGTCCACAGTATTGAGTATGTAAGTTGCTTTGGATAAAAGCGTCTAACAAGTGACATGTAATGTAAAGCGGCATCCAAGGATTTGAATTATTATATCAGCAGAGCTATGGAAGAGTAGATTCAGTACACGTTTATGTTTATAATGCCTACTGAAAAACAGGCATCTTGTCGACCGTTTTGTAATTTTCATCCATTTCACTTCCACTTGTTTTCTGGTTTTAAATGCCATTATACAATTTTATGACTGTAATTTTAAAATGGCTCCCAACAGCCAATTGTAGAGGCATGACCTGACCTCCTATGGATGCTCATCAGAGACCTTTTAGCTGCCGTATGACAGGAAGCTTGCTCCGCACTTAGGAAGAGCGGTTGCTAAGAAACATATTATCCTACCTGCTAGTCTACCTTGCTTTGCACATTGGCTCAAGGACACGTTGGTCTGTTATACAAATGGAGAGAGAGAGAGAGAGAGAGAACAGAGAGTCTAGGGATCTTTCTTGGCACAGTAGATGTGTTTCCATGAATGTATTATTTATTTGTATGCGTGTTTTGAAGCTGTTTCGCACTACAAAAGCTGTAAAGAAACTGCAAAAATGTCATTAAACTTCCTCAATTGCAAAAAAGGTTTTCCACTTGCTTTGGGTGGTTTTTGCCCCTGTTGAAAAATTGAATATAGAAACGCATTTGCTGAATAAATTCTGACAGTTAACTCGCATGACATCAATTGTTTTCGCTGTTGGTGTCTCCTCAGAAATATTCCCTTCGGATATTGGAACAGCATGATACATGGCATATACTAGTTGACATAAAAGAAACATCAAAAGTTGCCCATTTAAACAAATTCAAGAATACCATTTTTCTATGGTTGATTTGTTGGATGGCAAGGCGACTTGTTTTGCAACCTCTTCTTCTTCTACTACAGCAAAGCAAGCGTATAGCACCCACTTTCATGGAATTGTGTCACAGAAATATAAAAAAACTGTAAATAAAGTCTTAGAAAAGTGAATAGGGACACATTTGTTACCCTGAGTAGTGGTGACCTACTTTAGTCACATATGAGTAAATCATATCAACAGAGAGGAATGAAGATGATGCAGGGCTCGTTAACAAAAGTTTCCTATACTGTATCACCGTGTCAAATGTTATAATTATTATCGAACTTTGAACTCATTTGTTTTGCTTTTACATGACCCAGTAGCACTTTGTGGCCCTCTGTGTATTTACTGCTTGATGTTCTGAAACCACATGGAAGTGTTTCAGGATGTTATAAAATGTGTTGTAGCCATGTCTTTATGTGCATCTGTCTCTCTGCCACAGGAACACTAAACGCCCTCCTGAAACAGAAGGGCCAAACGACCTCCGAGGCTCCTGCGTGGTCGCTAAACGGTAACCAAGGTGAACGCTGGAAGCAGGCGAAAGTAAGCATCCATCCGACATCATCCTTCCAGGTAAGACTAAGAAACATAATCAATCCAATACGCCGCTGCACTCCTCTTGTTGCCCTCTATCTTCTTCTCTGACTGTGTTTGTGTGTGGAAGGATCCGTTTCCTTGGGGGCGGCATATTGATGTAGCACTTCACAAGCTGTGATATTAAGCAGAGAGGTGGACACTGTTTGCAATTGAAAACACAATATCACTCACGTTGCATTCAAGACGCTTAATCGTTGCGTGTTGAGAATACTCTCAATCATGTTTATGACTGCAGTTGTCGAAAGTAATTATAGTTTCAGCTGCACTTCTGTTCCCTTTTTTATTCTCTCCACTCTTCTTACTGCTCCAACACCACAAGGGTTCTTGATTAAAACATTTGTGACATTAAAAACTGAAACAAACACCAGCCACCTGCTGTTATTTTTCATGAAGCGCAATTTAGCAAAATTACGCTGTGTACTTTTAAGGTTTTATCTACTAATCATCCTATTGTTGTGGTCTTGCAATGCTGAACACATAACATGACAAACATTTCTCTCTGCAGGTGGTGCTCGAAGGTATCCGGGGAAAAGGCATCGAGGGAGACATAGCCATCGATGATGTCACGCTGGAGGAAGGGGAGTGTCGAGACCCTCCACCCAGTAAGTAACACCCCTCTCTGTCTCCTCCGTCCCCTCTTATCTGAGCTCCACGATCCCACTCTACCTCGTTGGACAAGGTGGAGATTTACGAGAGGGGATCTAATCTTAGACAGTTGCCAGCATTCAACCACACTCTCTGGTTGCCATAGAAACAGTGTTGTAATCACATGAATGACAGCCACGCTGGCTGAGTGGAGCACTGTAATTGCGCTTCAGGAACAAACAGAAGGTAAAAACAGAAAACAGGACACGGAAAATGGCCTGCAATTGACAAGGGGATATTGGACAATGTTTCCAGAAGCTTCATAAACTGAGATTTCCCTTTCATATAAATAGATGAATCAGGGTAATCTATTAAATGTTTCATGTCAATAGTGGAAAATAACCACATATATCCAAAAAAGAATCAGTCATTGATCTCCGTCTGTAAGATGTATTCTATTGTATTACTGCAAGATTATTATTCATTTGGATCCATTATAATTCAAAGCGACAACATGAATTAATTTACTTTTGAGTTATAGGAGTGGCCGCCCAGGCTGAGGACATGCTAAGAATTATGCATTTCAATCTCACATGACTTTATGTGAAAATGAGAAATATCTCATGGAGGGATGTTCGGAGGTGACATCAGACTGAAGAAGAAAGAGGTTCAGAGTAACTGTTTTAGGATCTGATCCTGCAGGCTAGTAGTTGTGCCTTGAAGGAATCATTTGAAATTGAATTTTTTGTAAATAATGTATTTGCTGTCTTGCTGAGGCTTGGAAGGAGAGATTCATACTACGTTGGCTTAGTTGAGCTTAGCTTAGTTTAGCATGAAGGCTAAAAACAGGGGGGAAATAATTTGTACAAAGATGAAAGTGTGTCCTTTTTGTAATTTTTGGTTTCTGAGGCTTGCCATGCCAGGAAGAAAAAAGAACTGTATAACTTCCTGTAAAAGTCCAAATTAATCTTATTTAAATGTTTGCTTCCCCTCTTTTCAGTCTTTATGCTAAGCTAAGCTAACAGACTGCTGGTACATGATGGATAATACATTGGGTGGTAATCATCTTCTCACCAAACTCTCCTCAGCGTATTTCCTAAAATGGCTTTCTATGGAATGAAACAGACTTATAATTTGATGTCCATGTGTTATCTTTTTATGTGAGTGTAAAGAATGAACTGCTAGCAATATTTTCAGTTTCTTTTCCTTCTTTCGTTGTAGATCTCAGCTCCAAGTCTCCGTCCACATCCTCCCATATATGGCTGCTATGCATCACCTTGGTGATGACCCTCCTGGAAGGTCAGAGGTGACCCTTCTCTCCGTCATCTCAGAGGCGAACATTCAGACCCTCCGTCTGTGAACTATACCCTCGACATCCAATCACCAAAGATTCATGCATCCTGAAAGCAGCAGGGGTCCCCTGGCAGACCACGGAGGGGCCGATATTAATGAAAGAGGGAAAAAATCATGATATAAACGTGACACAAAAAGTAATAAAGAAGACGCGCTAATTTTTTTAAAGAAACCTCTTTTACAGAAACACTCCTCGCTGCAGGACTCTGGACATCTTTAGGAGCACACAGACAAGTGGGCCATGAATAAGCCTGGACTTTCGCGAAAGAGTTCACAAGCATCGAAGGAGGACAGTTTGCAAAGCACAAGAACCCTTTTATGAAGTTATGAAAATATCTTTGGAAGGCGGTGGATATATAGACTAGTGACTTTTTTGAAAAGGAATAAACATTTCCCTGCTTACAAACACATGGAATCAGACCTTTCTCTGTGCATCTTTATCTTCATTTTCTTGCACCAGATGCCATTCAGCGACACTTGTTTTTCACTCTGGCCCAGCCTCACGTCACACCTTGGCATTTCTTTATCTGCTCGGTGCTGTACTGTAGAAAAACAAGGTCTCTGGCAACATTTAGTTCTGTCTGCTTACTCCCCTGTAGCTGCCTATGTATCTATTAACACTGTGCTCACAAGTCCAAGTGGCCAACCGGCTGTGTGGTGTCAGAACAATGAAAGCAGGAGAATCAGCGGAGGTGTAGACAAGGTGGACGGGAGGGCAGAGAGACGCTCAGGATCTGAAATGAGAGAGGGAGCAGAGTGGAGGAGAGGGAGAGAGGGAGGAACAGGCAGAGAGTGGAGAAAGGTCCGATCAGTGAGGCCTGACTCGAATATTCAGTCCGCCTGTGGAACAGAAGCCACTTTACTTTCTGCCATGAAACAAAGTGCCTTCAGATTACAAACCGAATCGTGAGCCTGTGTGTTAATCAACATCGAACACATCTCTGTTCATGTTTCCTCTGATGGGCTATTTTCTACATGTTTCTTTTGCCCCACAAGTGCTGACGGAAGGGCATGCGTGTTCAGAGGGAGTGTTGGGTTGTTTAAATACTGATGGGACAGTTGCCTGTGTGTGTGTGTGTGTGTGTGTGTGTGTGTGTGTGTGTGTGTGTGTGTGTGTGTGTGTGTGTGTGTGTGTGTGTGTGTGTGTGTGTGTGTGTGTGTGTGTGTGTGTGTGTGTGTGTTGTGTTTGTGCGTGCATGCTCCTATGCCTATGCCTCGGCGTAGTTCAACGTGAAGGCAGCATCCCAGGCAGAGCTGGCAGACCAGGTTTGGATACAATTTGGATTTAAAAAAACAGCAGCAACAATGAAAGTGAGGCTCTGGATCTTTTCCTGCAGAACGACAAGATTATACAGGAGGATAAAGACATGTGGTCGAATGAATACCCCCACTCTCTCTTCCCATAATTCTCCTTCCCTGCGGTGAGCATTTTTTAACAAAAGAACGACCGCTGAATAAAACATTGCGTTGTACAGGGAGGAGAGTAGGAACTCTGGGACTGTAGGCTCTTCTTTAGGGTCATACGCCTCGCCCCTACCCTCCACCATTTATATGGAACAATACAAGAATAAAAGATAATAATGACCATAATAATAGTCATGATATTTTATTACTCTAGCGAGAATGTTTCTCTGCTTTTACACAAACTGTGAAGATTGACTGTGGAAGATCTACCTGAGACCATAACCTTAACCAGCGGGGTTTTTAAAAAATGTATTGTAAAAAAGAGAAAATAAGAAAATGAAAAATTCCGTTCATTGTTGGTTATGACAAATGTTTTGAGGACTTGTGTCTTGTTTCTTCTTTTTATTTTGTTTCTGTTGAAGATGACTTAACTTCCTTTCTCTTCTTGTCGTCTCCCTTTGCATTGCTTAAGTATCAAAGCTGACGGAAGCATAAGAAGTAAAACCAATTTGGTAACTGTATAACTTGTAAATGTTAAAGAAGCTCTATTCAAAGGTTTATGATAAATGTTTTATGTTGGAGTACAGGAAGCACAACATACAGTTTAAGGTCTCGACATATAAAATCCATGTTATATTTCTCTGCACATACGTGACCAACTCCCACAGGCTTACCAACACAAGTCCGCGTTTAACAGCAAACTGATTATTTTGTACTCATTACATTCATATTTATGGTGCAACCAAAACACTAAAGGACAGAAAGAAGCCCGGTATGATGGAGTGATCATCAATGCAGACTGGGGAACGCTTCAGTTTGGTGTTGTGGTTGTTCAGCAGATGTAGCCTCTTCTATGGAAGCCTGAGTGGGTCATGTACATGTGTGAGCATAAAGCTGTGTACAATAGGTGTGATAAGAAACTGATACGTGTAAAGAAGATTAATATGCCAAGCAAAACAGAGCAGGATGATAAGCATTTCAGGGCATCCTTATAATACCATCATGGTCTGTATGATGTTATTACAGAGACATAATCACAGCCATTATCTGCTGTTTTTTTTGTGTTTTTATTTCTATAAGGCCAAGATCATAATGAATGTAAATGGACTTTTGGTGGGAGTTCTTTTCTTACAGTCTTACTATGTTTTCCCTTCTTTTGTGAGTGTGCTTTTGATGATGAGAACATTCAGAGGTTGTTTTCAACACATAAAGAACAAGTTTGTCTGACTTTGACACCATTTTCTAAATTACAAGCTCAAATGAAATATCCATTTGGGTAGTTGCTATATCCTCGTGTCGTATAGTAAATATTGAAAAGTGCCAAAGTGCCCCGTGCAGTCGTCACTGTCACTAAGCCTGGCATATGAGTTCCTTAAGATATTTTGAAACTGTTCCTTTTACGGCGGCCCTGAGCACCTTTTCAATGCAAATGTTATATTAAATACACCTCCGAGAATATAAATGATTAAAAATAACTGCTGGACTTAAATGAAAGAACACCTTAGGTATTACTTTAGTTTGAAAGTAAAAGTTTGACGTTTGGGAAAGGAGCTTCAACATAACTTTGCAGAAAGACTGTTAGCTTAGCTTAGCATCAATACTATAAACGGGGAAACTACAAGTCTTGACCTGTCCTCCTACCAGCATCTCTAAAGCCTGCTATAAACAGATAAAGCCAAGTGATGCTTGTTTAATCTTTTAAAAAGAACCTAACGTTTAAAATCAACACGTTTTGGTGTAATTGGCTTGTCAGGAAGCTAGCAAAGACATTAGCAAGCTTCAGAGGGATATTCTGGTAGCTTAGCGTGGTATCGATCTTCTCCTCTTTCTCTCAGCAAAAGCAAATAAACAAACTTCCATTCGACAAACATTTACTTCAAAATAACTCCCTTGAGTTCAATTCTTTCTTCTGGATAGTCACCATAGTGTGAAATTGTCTGAGCAATATCAACAGTAGCCTTTCAAAACCTATGACAGACCTGATATTTATTTCAAATGTGTGGATTATACTGTTACATTTAGGGTACATTCATATCTGCAAATCCACTGTGAAGGAAATCTTTCTTATTTCCCCAGGACAGCGGTTGAAATTTGACAGCTAAAGGAATTATAGTTTGTTTCCAGGGTATTATTAAGTGCCCTTTGTGTAAACAAAAGCAGTGAGTCTGCTGAGTACTAGCTTACTCACTCAGCTCTGCTCTTTTTTATTGATAAAAGTCCTCTAAAGCTACTTTAAAGTACAATTGAATTGGATTAACACTTTCTGAATATGTACATAGTGTGGTGCTCACTGACTATTATGACGATTAGAGGCTTCTGGAAGGTGTGAAGTGCTCCTACATTTGCATGGGGAATAGGTTTGAGGTATTAGTAGTTTATTCTTCATTGCTGTGTCCCAGATATTAACCGTTTGGGTAGTTTGGCACTCATGCAAGAGTTTGCAGTTGTAGTGATAATGTTAGGAATTTGAATAGGATTACAAAAATCAAATTATAGTATCTTTATTTACCAGAGTTGGACTGTATTAACTATACGTACTGCAATCTAAAACAACTGCCTATTGATGAGTACTAGATTCTCAAATGATTAGCTGATTGGAACTGGCTGTTTTCTTCCTGCTTCACAATCATTGGCTGATTACACCAGCTGACTCCAAACATACTATCACATCCATGCAGGCATACAGCATTGTCATGTGGCCTGATACCTTACACATTTATTTAGCTGATTAGCTTATGCTAATGTTATTTGCTGCCATAGCTCCCTGAAACAAACAACCTCTACCTTATGTAATGTGCTTTTGCTGCTTAGTATTTTAAAGCTCTCTTTAGAGCCTTTGCCACCAAATCTAGCTGTATAACCATGTTCTATTGACCTGACTTGAATATTTCGTCCCCAAAATGATAATTTGTATATTAATCACTAATTTCCAGTTGCCCTCTTGTTAAGAAATGTTGCTCTCCTTTCATGCCTCAAAAGGTAATGAAGAGATAAACAACAGAAACGTTTTAAATAAAAGTTGATAGGGACTCAGCAAAACTCCTACAGTATAATCCCCTGAACAGTGTGAATACTGTTTATGTGGCAGTGTTTTGAATAGCAAGGTATTAGCAAAAATACTGTGTTTGGTAAGAAGTGATCATACATCTGTATAGGAGTTGTGTGAGAGTTTATTAACAGATGTGTTGCACCTCATAATAAATGAGGTGCTGGGGTCAGTTTGTCAGTTCTACTGCATTACATTACATCGCACAGGTCACAGTATACACTAGGAATTGCCTTTCCTTTGTAACGCTGTCTAAAAGACAAGCAGATCGTTACTGCATGGAGAAAGGACAAAGCCATTTGGTATGTGGGAAGAAGGAAGCAGTCTGCAGTACAGTTTACACGGACAGAAATACTTTTAAAATGCAGCCTCACTTAACTTAACGAGAAAAATTACACATCTGACTCACTGATTTTGTGAAACATAAATGCTACATGTTGCTGTAATTTTAATAATTACCGGCGGATATTAAAAATACCAAGTAAACAAACAAGTATTATTTTTATAATGCTGTTACATACTTGAAGAAAATCTGTTATTTCTTTTGTGCATTCGTTGACAAATACTCAAAGGAATTATGCAGTTATGCCTGAATGTACCCGATGCTTACATTAATACCATTAAAATGGAGTTACTGTACCATTAAAGGATGTGGTCTGTCAGGGTTTGTGCAGGCTGCAGATTGGACATAATTGCCGCAACATGCAGTGCGCTCAAACTATTTCCCAGGTTCTTTGGTAAATTTGATTAAACTTATCCATGTGAGTAGAACCATGACCAGTTGCTATGCGAGAAAATGTAATTTAATAAAAAGTACTGCCTTAATTTCTAGAAAGTGCATATCTTGTAATATTCTAAACTACAAGTAGAACAAATCCTGCCTGAAGTCCTTTTCAGTTATGCTGCTAAACTCAGGCAGTTTTTATTTAACAAAGTTCCTTAAAAAGGTGTTTTACAACTGTAATTTACATATTTTAACCTCCGTAGTTACACTTATAGTCACCTTGTAATGTTTTATTCTCACCATTGAATAAAATGCATATTACCTGTGCTCTGGCGGTCGTTAAAAGGAACAGTCCCAACATTTCTTTTTGAGTAGAAATGTTTTCATTTTCTGTTCAACCTTAAGAAGGGCTTTGTCACATTGTGCCATTCATTGCGCTATCTTAGCTTCCCTAACCATTCAGTTCCACTAGCCTGATATCATTGCGACAGCTAGTTCCAATAATCACTACTCTACCAAATGGGGGCAAAGCATCGTGTTAGGGACGACCAGCACCGACAGAATTGGCAGTCACAGAAAGTGTTCGTATGAGGTACTCAAAATGTCTGTCGTATTAAACCTGAAACATTACCACTGTGTTGAATGTGTTTTTTTTTTAAAAGTGAAATTGCCATCTTAATGTGGTTTCTTTCACTTTCCCGCAGTGGCTAGGCAGCAGAGAGTGACTTCTCGACAGGAGGCTGACTGCAGTCTCACTAAATAACTGGAAGAGGTAGACACATTTTCAGAGATCTCATTTTACTCTGTCAGGAAAGAAGCAGTGTGTCACTGTTTGATGGCATGGCTGCTCTTTGTGACAACTTCACCAGAGGGAGAACTGCCACCTCTCGCTTCCTTATTGTCTCACTATTTCTCGAGGCTAGGCAGGAGCAACATGACCGTTCACACTGTCTCCATTTATACTAGTCCAGTTATTTAACATCAGTGGAGCAAGATGAAAAAACTGATATGTATTTGCCCCCCCCCACCCCCCCTCTGCGGCTCCAGAAAAAAGAGACCCCTGGAAATAATACGTTTGATACTGTAATATCAAGATTGATAAGAAAGCTGTGTTTCAGTGATGTTTTTTATCTTGTTATGTGCCAACACCCTGTTAAAATGACCTGTCACTCTTCTCTGTTTTGTGCTCTATATTTATATATGATCAGGCTTCTTTTTCACTGTATTTCTTTGGATTTATCACCCATTTTTTTTGTGCCATACCTGCAACTAATGAAAAAATAAAGAAAAGGAATATTTTATGGATTGAGTCAAATAAATGTTCCATTGTACGAGACAAGAGCATAATAAAGTGCAACTGAATAGAACACAATGTTCCATATTATAAGCGCTTAAAAGTGCTTAAACACAGATCCTCTTGTTTCTGTGGCTTGCCTTTACTCGACACCTCTGTCCCGGCAGTTTTTCAAAGAGAATGCCAAGTTATTCCCTCAGTGACCACCTGTCTCCCACTCAAAGGGCTGGAAACAAAAGCTTTTGTGTTGTGCAAATTGTTCCTTTGACAGTACTCCCCAGGTTGTGGCTCTGAGAGGAGCTCGCTTGCTCTCAGACTTGAGAGTATGTGAGTGATTGTGGTGAGAAAAGGACATCTGAGGGAAAGACTGAGCAATAACAATGGTGTGTGGAGGGGCTTGAAAGTCATCCAAAGGTTAGCCAGCAGGGGCTTTCTGACTGAGGAAAGCTTATAGAGTGTTGGCCACTGTACACCTGAACACAATGTTTCCCTTCCTTTTTGAAAGGCTATTCATACAAGAAAACTTTTTTTAATACAAACACAAGGTCACAACAATGGTAAAGAACAAAATACACATTAAAGGTCCCCTATTATACTATTTTTCATCAATATATATTATAGTTCTCAGTTAAATACAAAACACGTCTCTGAAGTGTTTGGCTCTAAACACCAAACAGATCATTGCAGCATCCCATAATCCCCTCTGTTTCAGCCCTGTTTCAAATGTGCTGATTCTGTCTGTTACTTTAGATGAAAATAAGGAGCCACTCCCCACACCCCTCTGAGATATATTTGGTGAAACAAATCACAATGGTGCTCTAGGAGGAGATTCAGGTGATCAGGTGGGAGGATGTTACCTTGGTTGGTGATTGGCTAATGGTTACACAAGCCAAAAAAAACGGTATGACATCACAAAGTGGCCAAAATCTGATCAGCTCATTTTCAGACAGGATTTTATATTAATCCATCAGGACAAAAAGAGACGGGGTCTTTTTTCCTGAAACTTTCAGAATCTCTTTACACACAGGGGACACATGTTTATGAAAAAGTGGATTTTGCATAATAGGTGACCTTTATAGCGGCAATAACTCCCTATGAGTTAGCTGCTGGGAGGCTAAAAAGTGCTCTTTGCTGTGACGCGTTCCATGTAAGAGTCCGTAGTCATTTGTACATTTGTTCCTACATCATATCCTCCAAACCGGCCTCCAACAGGTGACCTAAATACCAATTAACAACACCCACGTGACCATTGCAGGAAGTGATAAACAATAAGAATCAAACGTGATGTAAACAGAAATATAAGATAATAATACAAATAATAATAAGGCAAAACAAGCATTTTGGCTCCTATAACCTTTAATAATCATACATATAATAGTAGCCTATAGTTTTCATATACATAGTACAATGACATTTTAAGGCTACTACTAGTCTTGTCCTGGTTGTTCCATCAACAGGTGGCGGTAAACACACTAATGTGCAAACCAAGCAGGGAAGAAGAAGACTTTATTCCAGTTAGCATGGTTGAACCATAGCAGTTTTAAAATGTTCAACAGAAATACACTTTGCAAGTATTTAAGTGAGCATAGAAAGTCATTCAACTTAATTGTCCTCTAGGAAACAGAAATTGCAAGTTTGTAAGTAACACTGAATGGACACATTTGCAAGGGGAAAGGTAATGCTTCATGCTAAACTAAGCTAGGCTAGGCTAAACCCAGCTTCCCATCTACGATAAATCTTGTCTTATTTGTATCTAAATTGCAAGGCACATATCAGATATACTTGAGACGCTCAGTAATGCAACTCACTTATGATCGCTTTATGACCATTGAATATGTACAATAAATCTGCCCCAGGCTGCAGGTCATGTAGCATTAATCTAAAGAAAATGTGTGCGCCTCTTCACTGCATATACAGCCCAGTTCATGAAAATACCAATTTTCTCGGGTAAATAACTTCAAGAAAGTTAATAGGCTTAATTCTGTATTTCCCACAATATTGAAGTGTTATTCAACATTTTAAAAGGTTATTTAACCACCAGGCTGCAAATGATCAGGATCAGTATGATGTGTTTACACTGTGCAGGTTTCTTTTTCACAGTGAGGCCTTGCTGTAGGGGCTAATAGGCAATCTCCACCACACAAGCAGATTTCCCCAAGGCAAGGCTGTGTCCATACCCCTGAAAGGCAAGTGTTTTGACTGGGAGCGGAGAAATCTGCCAGTTGTGTTGTTTTTCAGCCCGTACCCTGAGGCACAAGCGGGAGAGTGTGATTGTTTTATGAGATGCAGATTTTGTCCTTTAAGCCTCAAGGCTTTCCTAAGGCTGCACACTGATTTCAAGAACGCTGAGGCTGTGTGTGTTAGTGTAGGACGTGTGGGAGCACACACATGTAACTGTGCGCTACAGCCTGACATGATGAGACATTTGGTTGTCATGAAAACATAGATTTAGCTTTGATCAGTATTTCCCAAATGGCGCTGTTTTGTGAATTTGTAGCCATGAAAAGCAATCAGAGACATGTGATGTCACGACCCGTAGATCTCACCTCAATATTCTTCCCGCATACATAAGTAGTATGTATAAAAGAAGGGTTGTAGCTTCTCTGCTAATAACCAAGTTATCTGTTTTAGTGCTTTCAGATTCATAAAAAAACTACATAATCACTGCATTATGGAGTTTTTTCATATGTATGCTGGTTGTAACAGAAGCACATTTATTCAAAAGGGGTTTTGAGCACACGATCCAAAGTGGTTCCAGCAGACAAGGTGCTAAAAGTAATGTTACAGTCCTTTAAAGACTCTCTGAAGTTTACTGGCCTTTATGATCTTGTATTATCCAGCGAGCCTTCATGAAGTGTAACAAACCTCCTTTTCGTCTGGATAATAAGTCAGTCCCATATAAAATTCCGATTGTTTCTGCGGCTGATAACCCCTGATCGCATGTGGCCTTTAAAATCCCGAGCACTTTCAATTACCCCTGCTGCATGTCCCATTCGTCCACTCCCTTATCGGCTCCCTCCGCTGTTTCAGCCAGCCAGAGGTTGGCCTGTAGATCAGCATTAGAATGCGCACCTGCTATCGCCAGCGCTGAACAATGCCGTTTTACATTACGTTCTATTCCCTTTTCTCCTTGCCATGCACCGCAACAGCACTTTGTTTACAGGGCCACCACTGCTTTCTGGACGGATGGGAAAATGTCAAGGAATGCTAATGGTCTGCTAATGCTCCTCCGACAGGCCTCCCCTTGTCAGTCAAACAACATCTATTCAGTTATGCCAGCTTTGTCAAAGTCATTCAGACAAACGTGAGATGAACCTGTGTGGGTCCGCTGACACATTATCGATTAAGAAACACTCCTAATTTATACGCCAACGACACTAATATGTGTCCGCTGACATGATTACATTTGATCGCTTTCAAGAATAAAACACATCAATTTTATTTTGTTCAGTAAAAGAACCGAAAGAGCCCCACAGCTGGGGTTTTATTTAATTTATTAGCACGGACACTCTTTGTTGCCTCAGTGCATCTTTTATGGACTTAATAAGCTCAAGTTATTGCTTTTTAAAATCAGTTTCACTGTTGTCTTTCTTCCACACAGATCAAAATCATCTGTAAATTAATAAAACCAGTCAAGTCGAGGCAGCCCATGAGGCATTGCTTCGTTGTTTACTTCATCACCTGCTTCTCGAGTACAAAGATGTCAGAGTAACAACATAACTCATCAATGAGCAATGGTTCCATTATGAGCAGTGATTTTCCTCTCCACACACATACGAGCACCCCTCACTCAACCATGGCTTTGAGACATCTCCTTGTCTTCTCATGGATGTTGCATGAATTAATCCCTCTCATGTGCTGCCATCTGAGCCGCGTTGATGCAAAACTTCAGGCTGAATAATTTATCTTTCTGCCCTTCGGAAGCCAGCTCTCGCACCGGGTGCCACCGCGCATGACTGGGAGTTCTCATCACAGACCTGAGCCTGCTGGCATCCGCTCAGACATCTGTGTCGTGTGATAAGAGCGCACGTCATGGGAGGAAGACATCAGATAGTGTTTGAATTGTGGCCCAGGATAGATATACAACGGGCAGTCTAAACAGAGCTGTGCTCACCTTTTCCACACGTTCACTGCGGCCGCTGCACTTCTGCTTCATCTCTAAGGGGATTACCACTGCACTATTGAGTTCTGCATGGCTAATGCAGAATAGATCCAGAGCACTTTCACAAAGCATGCTGCCTCATTGTTCTAGCCTTCCAGGTGATTAAACAATGGATGAAGAGATTCTGAACATCTGCTGATTTCTGCCTAATTCAATTATGACGACAATAAGTGTCAACCTGTTTCATCCCCTATGAGTCAGTATTGTTCTACTGTCTCATATGTAAGATGGATTCTGTCAGAGGGTGTTTTTACATGTAGTTCCCTCATGGGAGCAGCATGTCAGAGCGTTTCTCAGAGTTGTTGAGCACTTTTTTTAGATGAGACAACTCACATTTATTCTTCTGTTATTCATTCTCGTGAGTCAATGCAAATCAGACGTGCAATTCCACTTCTGCGGGTAAATATTCCCTTCAGCAATTCTCAGCAAAGCGTTCTCTCTGTCATGTCTTTATGCGGTTAATGTATAGTTTCACAGTAAGTGATTTGGCAAATAACTAATAAGAAGATAAAGATGGTGCACATTTGACTAATTTAAGCATGCATGATTTCTCACTATTAATCGACAAAAAGTGATTTCATAAGCTTTGTTTACTGGTGGGCTGTGAGTATCATGCTTATGAGCTCGCTAGATAATGATTTCTGCTCCTGTGCATATCAAGCAGGTGATTCATTTGCTCAGTATGAAATGTGTGTTTATCCAGGCAGCGTCTCGGGGTGTGAGGCCTTTTTATTACTGTTAAAGTTGCTGATACAGATCGAGAGCGTAAATCTGCACCCGTATGTCTTCCCTGTCAGTGAGGGAATAATTGAACCTTAAACCCGACTCCACTGCCATCCCAG